CTGGGGTCTTCTGGGGGCACTGCGGGTTTGTTTCAACACCCTGGGTGCAGCCTGGGCAGTGCTGGCTGCGGGGAAGGAGACTTTTAGCAGCACGTCACACTGCAAGGCCACAGCAGGGATCGGGGTTGGGGCAGACCATGCTTGGGTACCCCCTGTGATGGGGAACACATCAAACCCCCCAGACCCAAGCCAGGAGAGCCTAAGTGCCACGGGCAATGCCCAAACCTGCTGCAAGCAGGGGGACCACTGAGGGCCATCTGTGCCCCCCAATTCTCCACGGGTGTTAATGTTGGGGCTTCAATATTACTGCCCATGTCGGCACCACGAGCGTGCCCCCCAGCCCATGAGGGGCGAGTGGGGTCCCACAGCTCCGTGCCCATGTGGTCACGGCTGCGTGCTCCTGGTCTGACCACACCAACCCAGCCTCCCTGTGTGCCCCCCAGGTTTTACTCCTGCTGTGAGGGTTACGAACCCACGGTGCTGCTCATAAAGACAACGGAGGGGGAGGTAAGTGTCTCCCGAGCAGGGAGTGGGGCCGTGCCGGGGTGGTGCAGGGAAGGAGGGCGGTTGGCTCCCTGCCCACCAATGTTGGCTCCATCACGGTGTCTGCGGGGCACCGGCACCAAGAGCTGCCCTAGACACTGGTTAAAGGGGGCACGTGGAGGTAAAGAGGAGCCCATGAGATGGAGAGGCCACGAGAGAGAAGTTTTTATTGGAAATTTAGGCTAAATCGTGAAGCCTTCGCTAGGCAGACTTTCCTGAAGTCAGCAGATGCTCTGCCTGAGCAGGGACTTGCTTTCAGCGCGCTAAATGCCAGGAGCTCTTCTTGATTGCAAGAGCAGCAGCACGAGGGAAGTGGAAGTGAAATAAGGACAGCTCTTATGGTATCTGAAAGTCATAAAATAGCTGCAGAAATACCTGAGCCGGGCCTCTCCCCAGGGACTCTGAGAGTGGCTCATAAACCCGTATTTTATCCTTGCACTCTTCATCAAGCAGCAGAGGCAAATTCTGCAAATTGCCCAGGCATCCCGAGGATTTATTGGCCACCGAGCCCTGATCTCCCACACCAGGCACTCGAGTGCGGTGAGGAGATAAACACTGCGGTCCCTGGGGCCTGCTGCGGGCAGGGAAAGGTGACTTATTCAACCTCATTCCCTATGTTTTAGCTCGTTTTCTTCCTGACATCGTGCCAAGGAGAGGCAGAGCCCTTGCTGAGCAGCACACCCCAGCGATGGCCTCGATGGAGGCTGCTGCCGGGGGTCCTGGGGCTCACCCCAGCCCTGCTCCCTGTGACAGCTCCCTGTGCTCTCTCCCAAAGGTGTGCGGGGCATTTCTCTCCTCTGACTGGAGTGAAAGGAAGAAGAATGGGGCGACATCAGGCTTTTTTGGGACAGGGGAGTGCTTCGTGTTCACTGTAAGTCACATTTTATTTAGGGGTTTATGCTTCTGAGCTCGTCTGTCTTTGCTTTTTGCTTTATTTGTCTAAGGCATGGTGGCACCGAGCTGCTTCCTTTGCAGTCCCACCATTGCCTCTGAGCCCTGGCAGGAGGCAGCAGCACAGAGATTGCTGCGCTGGACTACAAAAAATGGAGAGCTAACTTCAGGAGCATCCTAAAGGGATGACAGCAGGGCAATGCGTGCAGCAGGGGGGGTTTCTGCGCCATCCCTCCTCTGCCCCAGCACACAGTGTGTGGTCCCCAACTCGCCTGGCCAGGCAGCAATGGAGAGATGCCCCCAGGGCCGGGGCTCACCAGGGTCTCTCCTCCTTTCCAGGTGCAGCCCTGAGATGGAGAGGTACGAGTGGGTGTTCATCAAGAAGCCGGAGCTGGCCAAAGCCGTGCCGCGCTCACGCCAGCGGTCGCCTTCTCCCAGTCCCATGTCCCTGCTCAGCTCCTCCCCAGACGGCCGTGGCACCAGCTCCAACCACCTCGCCGTGCCCACGCCGCAGCGGAAAGGCCGTCTGTCCCCGTTCCTGGCCATCAGGCATTTCCTCCTGCCTTCCAAAACAGCCTCCATGTTCATGTCCGGCTCTCGGGAAGGGATCATTATCGGTAATTACCTAATGGCAGGCACCCTGCCCAGCATGCTGCTGCTTTGGCTGAAAAGAGCTCTCCCCCAGGTTAAAATCTGAGCTGCCCATGCAGGCAATGACCTCCTTCTTACGGGAGAAGTCAGGGAAGATAAAGTCAGCCCCGACTTCTCCAAGTTAGCAAGAGAGTACAGGGCTGCACAGGGAAAATGATGCTCCTTCTGGGAGCCCCATATCCCAAACCTCCCAGCCAGGTTTGTGCCCTTGGGGCTGCTGTGCCCATCCTGGCCCTTTCCTCTGCTTCATGCAGGACTGAGAGGACATGCAGGAGGGGAACAGCTTGAGGAAGGGCCGGGCATGGCCCCACAATCTGTCCGTGACAGCTCTGCAGCGTGGCCGCAGTAAATGGAGCAGGGAGCTGGGCATGATCTGAGACCTGGCCAGTGTCTCTGCTCAGGCAGTGAGGGGTGAGCGTGGATCCCAACCCTCTGGCATGATTTTACAGGTGGAGGCGGAGGCCAAGCTCTGTCCCTCGACGCCAACCTGCTCTGCGGACGCACGGAGCACTGCGAGACCTTTGACAACCCTCCGCTCTGCCAGGAGAACTTCAGGGTGCAGCTCTTGGAGGTGTGGGGCTTCCAAAACACCTAGGTCCTATGGGGCCGGCCCCTCACCGCACCTCCTGCCAAGAACGGGACCCCCACGGCACCAGCTGCGGCCCGGCCTGGCTGCTACGGTCTCCACCGGCAGCATCTGCTGGCCGTCCACACTGTCCCCAGCCGTGGTGGCATGGAGAGGGCCATGGGGTGCCACGAACGGGACTGCAGGGACACACGAGGTCCCCTGCCACAGCTCAGCTCCAGCCAGCTCCACCAGCTCTGTTCCTGCTCAGGGTGCTGGAGGGGAAGGGAGCCGGCTCGCTGCTCGCTGCCCTCCCCTGGCCTCTCTGTGGTTTGGGGCTCTGCAGCGAAGCCGCGACACCACGGCACAGGCAGCCTGGGGGGAATCCTGAGTCTAGACAAAATCCAGCAGCAAGGTGCAAAGTTCACCAGGACAATCCACACCCCACTTCTCACCCCAAGCCCAGCCCTCAAGACGTGTGCAGGATTTTTGTATCACCTGAGGTTCCCAGGTTTCACCTGGGACCAGGGCACCGATCACCATCCAACACGGTGCGAAAGACTGCTTGTGGTTGAAATTGCTGACTGGAGATCAGCAAAGTGCTGCCTGGTGCTTTTGTGCCTGCAGCCCACCACAAGCCCCCCAGCAGTGCACCTGCCTTGTCAGTGTTTCCATTACACTGAAGGCCTATATTAGCAGCCAAGAGTTGATGTAAGATTGCAAGCGGTTAATATAAGCTTTAATTAATACATGCCCTGATTAAATGGGTCCAGATAACACACGTGCCATTTTGAAATATGAAATGTGAACATGTAGGTGTTGGTAGGTAAAGCCGGTGCAAGGAGGGTTGTGAACTATCAAGAGGTCATTCTGGCTGCAGGATGAGAGCACATCTCCCTGTGTCCCAACACTTCCCATTTGTGGTTTTATCTTTCATGGATGCCATTTCCTGAGCTATTCAGGGCAGGAGTTGTCACTGCCATGGTGCTGGTGTGTCCAGCGATGCCAGGAGGATGTGGGGAGGAGCGGGCAGTGGCAGCAAGCTCCCACCAGTGGTCAGTTACACAGCAGGCTTAGGAACTGCTTGTAGCCTTCCTTATATATCCTGGTAAGACAACGAGGTGAGGTGCAGGTCCCTGCTGCCCCACACCTGCCTTTGCTCACAGAGCTCAAATGAAACACAGCAGAGCTGCTCTCACCCTTGATTTAAAGAGCTCTGCTAATTGTTCCTCAGTATTTCTTGCTTTCTGTGATCACTGTACCAGACTGCTTTCTGTCCAGCACAAAGTTGCCCTTGGGTGTCCCTCTTTCCTTCCACAAAGCAGTTTTCCCCCTGCACCCAGCGATGCACAGGACGCACGCGATGCCTGCAAACACAAAGCCCTTCCTTCGCAATCCAGTCTGGCCTCTCAGCAGCTGCTGGCTCAGGCTTCACCGTCTCTCTTGTAAAGGGCAAGAAGGTCCTGTCCAACGTATTAAATACCAGCGACTGGGATCGTTCTGTGTGGGACACGGGTATTGGATGCAGTGGAAAAGCCTGCGAGTCCCTGTAACGCTGTGCATGCCGATACCTGAGCTGCCTGCTGCTCCCAGCTGTAAATCACGATGGGAGGCAGCGTGCTTTTTACATTCACCGCCTGTCATCTGACGAGTGTCTTCGCTGTTTTTTAAAATGACGCTAGAGTACTTTCTTCTCTACACTTTATTCCATTACCGTGTAAAGTTCAAAACTCTTAGAGAATTAAAGAAAATAAATAAATAATAAAGAACATGCAGAGAGAGCAGAGGGGCCTGGAAGCTCAGGGGACTTGTAATGGGATATAAAGAGGTCTTTCATCTGCATTGTGCTGGCACTTGACTGCAGTAAGGTCAGCGGGGAGCAAACTGCTGCTCTCTGATGGCTGCTTGGTGGCCCAGGACAAACACGGGGACAGGACGAGCGGCACCACCAACTTCACAGGTGCCTCGAGCACTGGCACAGGCTGCCCGGAGGGGCTGTGCGGTCTCCTCCAGAGATATTGGGAACCGCCTGGGTGCCGTCCTGTGTGAGGTGCTCGGGGTGCCCCTGCTGGAGCAGGGATCCCACCAGCTGCTCCCAGTGCTTTGATCTCTCGGGATCATTCTGTGCTTGCCAGGCACGGCTTGGGGTGACTGAACCCTGGAGGTGACAGCACCCGGGCACTGCGGCTGGAAATGGGGAGCGGGAGGGAGAAGCTGGGTGGCTCCGGGGCTGCCCGAGGGGCCGGGATCCCCTCGAGGGGCCGGGATCCACCCGAGGGACCGGGATCCACCCGAGGGGCCCCGATCCCCCCGTGGAGCCCGGCCCTGCCCTGCCGGGCCTTGCCCGGTGCCGTTGCCATGGCGGCCGCGGCTCCGGCGTGAGGCGATGGCGGCGCCCGAGGGCAGGGAGGCGGCGGGGCTGGAGCTGCGGGCGGCCATCGGCTTCAACGGTACCGGGGCCGCCTGAGGGCTGCGGGGTGCCCGGGGTGGGGGTAGGCTGGGGGCTGGGGGAAGCGTGGGGGCAGCTGGTAAGGGCTTGGGGGGCACCGTGGGGGCAGCTGGAGGGGCTATGGGGAGCTATGGGGCAATTGGGACTTATGGGGCAGCCATCGGGACAAGCTGCATGGGCTATAGAGAACTATGGGGGCAGCTGGGGGGGCTATAGGGCACTGTGGGGACACTGGAGGGGCTGTGGGACACTGTAGGGGTAACTGGAGGGGCTATAGGGAACTATGGGGTTAGCTGGAGGGGCTGTGGGGCACTGTGGGGACACTGGAGGGGCTGTGGGACACTTTAGGGGTAACAGGAGGACTTACGGTGTAACATGGGGACAACTGGAGGGGCTATAAGGAGGAGCCATGGTAAGGAGCCATAGGGGACAGGTGAGGGGCTATGGGGCACTGTGGGGACAGCTGGAGGGGCCATAGGGCACCTGAGGGGGTGTGGGGCACTCTACAGGGCACCTGGGGGTCCATGGGACACGGTGCAGGCAGGTTTAGGGGCAGACAGGACACTGTGGGGCAGGTGAGGGGCTTGGGATGTATGTGGGCAGGTTTAGGGCACCCTGAGGTGCAGAGGGGCCACCATGGGTCATGGCTGGACTATGGGGCTGTGGTGATGGTGCCAGGCCCGGGGCAGTGGGTGTGTGGGGTGCCCCGCACCTGGCTGAGAGTGGAACCACTCGCGACATCCCCGACAGCAGGGCAAGAGTTCAGAGAGAAGGGTTGCAGAACAGGCAGGGTCTGGCTGAATTGCAGGATTCACTGTCTGTTTATTTCCAGTTACCCAGCTTACCAGAATGAGACGAGCTTCATTTCAAAATAAAACCAAATCAGGTTGCACAAAACACAGCCATAAACAACCCCATGACTCGGTGATGGGGTTGGTAACGGGTCCTCACTGGGTGCCTGGCTTCCTGGGAAATGTACAGCTATCTGAGGCAGGTCAGGGTGTGGTGAACTGGTGATGTGACCTTCATAAGTCAGCAGGTGCGCCTGGAGAACCTGCTGTGGTGAAAGGCTCAGACCTCGGGGACAGCTAAATCTCCTGTTATTGGTAGGAAGCACAGCCCAAAATTTGTAAAGGTGACCCCTGAATTGTATAGAGGATTGTTATGTCGGGTGGCTTTGGGTGGGAGGTGGAAGCCTCTCATTTTTGCCCTCCTTGTGGAGTAAACCTTCAGCAATAAGGGTTTCTCTTGGGAAACAAAATCAGGAAGTCCACCAGCGTGAAGGTGTTGAATTTGCCTGAGTCCCAGACTGTTGGTAGTCAGCATTTCTTTCACTTCCTTGCTTTTGTAGGTCATATCCCATTTGGCCTGATCTGCCACCCAAACAAGGAGCACCTTCTCTACCCGCTGGGATGTACCGTGGTTATTCAAGAGTTGGCCAGCAAGAAGCAGGCGTTCTTGCACGGCCACACCAACAACGTCTCCTGCATCGTTGTCTCAAGGAGCGGTACGTTTGTGGCCTCTGGACAAGTCACCTTCATGGGCTTCAAGGTGGGTAATGCTCAATGTTTAACCATGTAATATTGACTGAGAAGCATGGAGTTGGCCTGCCAAGCAGGGGGAACGCTTGCTTATTTTTAATTTTATTAGAAAACTGATGCCCGTAGTGGGGGACACTGCAGAGAACGGGGAGTTGTGGCTACTCTGTTGCTGGGTGTGCCTTTATATTTTGGTGGAGCATTAAGCATTTCCCCAAGGATTAGGGTAACTAGGTTGAGAGATTTCTTAGTCCCAATTCTTTTTATCAAAAATGTTGTGGACATGTGCCAGCCTAAATCCCATTAGATGTTAATTAATAAATTATGTTATATTTAAAATTCTTTATGATTTAATTTTTTAGTGCCTATTTGAAAAGACTCTGAGGCAGTAGGAAGGAATCAAGTATTAGGGTTTTCAGTATTTTAAAATCTAAGTCAAATACTCTTCCAGTGTAATCAGTAAATTTTGATTCTGAAATGAAACACAGCAACTAAATTGGAATTAGCAACTAAGTTGGAATGTTTTGTGCAGCACTTGGTCTGAAGCATATTCCTCCCATACCACACTTGGGCTGGAAAGAAGCTAACCTTCAGCTTTTTGCTTCTAACAAAAGTTCGCTTCCTGCCAGAGCACTTCAGCATGTTACAGCTGATGCTCTGACTTGGACCTCTTCTGCTTTGGCCTGCAGGCAGACATCATTTTGTGGAATTTTTGGAAGAAGGAGTTACTTGCTCGGCTGTCCCTTCATAAGGGTAAAATCGAAGGACTAGCGTTCTCTCCAAACGAACTTTATCTTGTGTCACTGGGAGGCCAGGACGATGGCAGGTAAGTATTTCCCCTTCTTGATGCATAACTCCTGACCATTTGTATGGCATTGAGGAAGGCTGCTTAGGGAGTACTCACTCCTCCCTCTTCTGGCAATCCGATGCTTTCCCCTTCTTGACATCTTTCTTTAGAGCATCCCGTTCTGTGTGATGGAAGCATTCAGCATCCCATCCTGTCTGATGGAAGCTGGATTGGTACCCTAGAGAGCAGGGCAGGAGAAAACAAAGGGAGCAGCTAATTCTGAAGTTTTTTTGTCACCCAGCGGTATGTCAACTGAACTGTTAGCTGATTTAACATACTGTCCTGAAGAATTAAGAGTGGAATAAAAAGTTATTTTAAATCAGATTCTACCTAAGACATAATTTGAGTCTTGCTCAGCAGGAGGAATACCACAAACACATATCCCTTCTTCAGGAACAAGGGATGTAAGCTGCAATTCCATGTGTTTGTCTTAAGGCTTTTCTCAAATAAAATATCTATGAGGTGACTTTTATTGCTTATCCTTGTGGGAACAGACTGCAGGAAAGCAAGTTTATTCTTGCTTTTTTTTGGTAAGTTTTTAAGTATCATTAAAAAGCAAATCTATTTAAAACCCCTTCTTCCTTTGCAGCGTGGTTGTGTGGGACATCCTAACGAGAGAGGCTGTCTGCGGGAGCCCTGCCTCGGCCCGGAGCGCGGGCAATACAACCATTGTCGAGTGCTCTAGATGCAGAGACGAGATGTTTGTTACTGCTGGAAAGTAAGGTTTTATTTACAAGAACTCTTAGGAGAAAAAGAACACAGAGACTTCTCTCCTTTTACAAGGGGTCTTTACTTAAGTACAAGGAAAGTTAAACAATAGTGTGCTCATGCTTTTTTTTTTTTTTTTTTTCCCCGGAATGGACACATGAATATCCATCAGCTTGCCTTTTAAAGCGTTTCTGCCTGTTCTGCCTAAGAGTGTGTTTTGAAAGCAGCATGCAGGGACTAGCACACACCACTTCTGTTCATGATAGCAGGATTTTGTATTCAGTATTCCCCTTGCAATGCTTAAAATATTTAGTTCCCAGCGTTTGTGTAACAATAGCAGTCAGTGAGCGGCTCCGAACAATGCCTCATTAGTGCAGAAACAATGGTATCCTGCAAGTTGTTGGATCATCTCCTATCCTCAACAGATGTAGTGTACAATCAGGTCCCTGACTTGTAACAAAAGTTGATCCAAAAAGTCACATTTTACATGCGTTTGAGACAGCCCCCGTCTATCTAGCCTGACGCTTAAACCTGCTGAGGAGCTGCATCTCCCTTTAAATCAGGGAAGGGTTTGCATGGTTTTGGCTGCAGTCGCACTTATAAATGTTGGTCTTTGCATTTTTAACACTTTGCAAAATGTAGGGGTGACTGTGCATGAAGATGTTCTGTTGGTTCCTAGCTGTCAGTCAAACTGTGCTAGAAAATAGTTGAAAGTGTCCTGTATTGCTCATTTCCTGTTCTAAGAAACAGGATTCCCACGGTGTATTATCTCTTTGGGGAATTAAGTGTCTAGGTTGTAACATACCCTTCCATAATCCTAGTGTATATTTCTGCTGAACCTTTGAGATTTTTGATTTATCTGGAAAAAAGTTACCATAAGAGACAGCAGAAAAGACAAAGACTTATTCCTGGCCTCTCTGATTCTGTTCTTTTTCCTCCTTATAAAAATTTCATGATAATATGACCTCATAAAGACTCTTTCATTCTTCTAGTACTGAAAGAACAGGGATATTTCTGAGTGCAGTACCAAGTATGAATTTGATCCTGCTATATACTTTCTTGTAGTGGGACCATTCGAGTGTGGGAACTGGATCTACCAAACAGAAAAATCCGACCAACTGAATGCCAGACAGGGCAACTGAGAAGAGTGATCACAAGTCTTAAGGTAAGATTTAGACAAATGATTTGGCTGAATTAAGTAACTCTCAACAGACTAGAAAAGACCATGAGCTTTTCTAGTAATGCTAAAAATGCCAATTGTAACTTCAGGATGGCAATGAAATTGCTAAATGTTGGCTCCTGACAGGTGGTTTCCCATCGTTTCTTTATCCTGGGAAAACTGTTTTGGATGCTTCTGAAAAGAAGCAGCTTGTATTTTAGTCAGAGGTTTTAGCACCCAGAGAATTCCCCTTTTTCTTCAAAGTATTACTTAGAATTGGTTGGAAAACATTGTACATTGAGCGGCGTTACGGATCTTTGTGTGCAATGGGCTAAAAGCACTGGCTATGTGCCCTTTGAGTAAATCCTGGCAATTCACTTAAATAAAGCTATTTATCCAGTACAGTGCTAGAGTTGGGACAAATGGCTCAGTATCTGGACTGTGTTCTCTTTTTTTTTAACACTTTCGTGTAGATAGCAGATGACGATAACTATTTTTACGCTGGCACATCAAGTGGTGATATCCTGAAAGTGAACACAAACAACAAGCTGATGACGGAGTATGGGCCTAAAGAGAAGTTTAGCTTGGTAAGTAGCAGCTCTGTGACTTGAATTTTTTCCTTATCCTCCTCTTTATTGGTGACTGGAATTAGGGCAACCTCCTGGAGAATCATTACAAAGCTTTTTCACAAACTAACCTGCATCAGGGAGGACAAGAGGTGTGGATGTGTGTGACACGGTGGCTGTTCAGGTTGGAGCACTGGGAAGAGAATACCACAAGTATTTGAGAAACCAGAACGGGAGCACAATGAGGATTCACAGCTGGAAGGGAGCAAGGACCAGAATAAAACTAAACTGAAGAGATGAAAGATGAGGGGAGAAAAGAATAGGCTGTGCCTTGTTTATGTGGTTCCTGTAATGAAACCAAAGACTCCTGAGATCATAGGTGCATACTGTGCTATTACTGCAGTTTATTGTCCCCCCATTTGTGCCAGCAGAACTGCCTGTAGGTTAAGAGTGGATCAAGAATGGATTCAGCTGAAAAAACACCTGCAGCAGGGTAATTTTTGGCAGATATTATTTACAGCAGAGCCTCATAAACTGCTAAGAGCACAGCTGAAAGAGGCAGCGTGCTTCTTTGTATTGGAAGTACAGTGAGAATTCACAAGAAAAACCTGTTTCATTTTTGCTGGGTCTGATAACATAGCTTGGTTTCAGTTACCCCCCCTAACTTCAGAGATGAAATCGTGTGGCAGAGCTGAGTGTTCCAGGGCTGTCAGTGGCTTGTGTAACAATCTGTAAAACAGAATTTGTTCTTTCTCTGTATTTTTTATTTCCAGTTCTTAGTGCTGTCATTGACCCTGCTTTGAGCAGGAGAGGGCTGCACTGGACGAGCTCCAGTGGTTCCTCCCAACGCCAAGCTGCCCCGTGGTCCTGTGGTGCTGGTCTGCTCAGGGGACTCTCCTGATCATGGCATTTAGTTAATAACCAAGTATCCAAAACTTTAAAGCAGTAAGCAGTGAGGATAATATATACCTCAGGCTTGCCTTACTGGGTGATGACTTCAAAACTAGGTTTGAATAGTTAGCTTTGGTGGGATCAGAGTAGTGAAATTTGGTGAGTCCCACTAGGCTTTGGTGAGATTTCTGTGGCACTAATCTTGCACTAAAGCACACAGAAATTAAAGCACAAAAAATGCTTATTTTTGGCACCCATTTTGAGAGGTTTGATCCCTACCCTTTTCCCATAGTATTTGATATTATATAGCTTTTTTATGTTTTCAGACATAGGTCCAATTGACCTTATTCTCAGATTCCAGTGACCCATACTTCTGAATGTCAGTCCCCAGAGTCTGTGTTGGCACCTGAGGAGCAGACAATTAAATAGTGCTTGGAAAAATCTATTAAACGACTTGCTCAGCATCACAAGAATTCTGGTGGCGGCTGCTACGTAGAATTTAGTTCTTCTGGACCACATTATGGCTGTTCAGTCAAGACGTGATCTGATTTTTTGTTCATTACAAAAATGTGTGTTCTCTCATCACGTTATTACATTATACCCATCCTGACTGATGTCTCTAGTAGCTCCAGCTTCCCCGCTGATGAAGCAGAGGTATTACTGAAAAAGATTGTCTAGATGATATAATTAAAGAGTTTATTATAATGCTTATGCACAAGTGGGACAAAACAAGGTTGAGCAGTGCACACTGGTTCTGTTACTTTAACTTCTGAGTGCTCAGCTTCCTAACCTCAAAGCTCCTTTAAAGTAGTTCTGTTTGTCTGTAATTGGGACTCCTGGGTCTTAGTATAACGATCCCCAGACAGGAGTGTCTGCTGAACAAGGAGCTTTTGGCCTTCCATTGTTTGAGACTTCTGCTTGCAGGGAGCTGTAATCATAAACAAACAGGAACAGCTAGAACACTTGCTCTTGATTTCTCTTTGTTTGTTGCTGTTAAATGACTTCTTTGAGCTTCTTGGTTTATAGCCAGTGGAGGGGGTAGTACTTGAAAAATTCAAACTCTTAAAAAATTCAAACACTTCCCTGAAAAATCTTCTTCTGTGAGGTTGTATTTTATGATTCTATTAGAAACCATGAAAATCAGTGAGCAGCGAGGGAAGCAATACAGAAGTACTGCTATGGATGCTATGGGGAAATTTTCCTAGAAAGAAGCGGACATTATTATTTGAGAGCAAACACAAGATTGAGAAAAACTGTGAGGAAAAAATCATCAGTAAACCCCAAATTAAAAGCTACTCTGGACTTGTTTTTCCAAATCTCCTGAACATTGCCTGTACCAACACACGTACATAAAAACCACATTCATGCCCATGTACAGTGCAGAGTTTCTTGCATTACAAATGCATGCCCACATCTCTGGGATAACTTGGAGCCACTGAGATTTTAAAAATATATTTCAATATTTATCTATCTATTCTATAAGGTTGGAGAAGGTACTATATTTGTTTTTATCACTCGCATTGTATGTAAGTATTTTAATTCTGTGTACATATTAGGAAACAAGAATGTAAATATTTTGCTGTCCTGATAAATAATCAGCAGACTTACAATTTGTAATGTTGATAAGAACTCTTGTGGGTGTACCTGTACTGTATGCTGTTACTATCGTCCTCAGCAGTCATCCTGCAGTGTCTTGCATCCACATGGGACCCATGTCCTGGCTGATCTCTGCATTTTTTTATGCTGAAGTCTTGAAGACTGAATATCCCCTCTTTTAAATGCTGGCATGCTTTGACTCCTGTGTCTGGCATTACATGTGCCTCTCCTGGAGCACCTGGATGAAGCCACATGAGGTCCTGAACTCCCTTGCCCTCTGCAGTGAGGCAAAGGCACTAAGTGTGTTTGAAACAAACCTTCACAGAAAACATGCTTTTGAGATTGTTACTAAAGAAGCGAGCAAATAGGGTCATTAGCATGATGCCGTGCAATTTGGGAGTTGAAGGAGAGCCTTGGGCCTCTGAGTGAAAAGTAGAGACTCAAGGCCAGACCACAGTCCCATCCAGGCTGTGAAGAGCATTGGAGAATCACTGCCTTCAGCTGGCATTGCTTCACAAAGCTGAAGAAAAAGGGGACCTTCTGCTGTGCAAGAGACTGACCAGATGCTAGGGGGAAGTTCCAGAAGGGGGTGTCACAGCTCTCTGCTAGCCTTGTGGATGAGACCTGATCCGGTAGGCAATAATGTGACTTAAATGTTGTTTTATTAGTGTTAAGTAGTGACAGCCACATAAGAGTACCACTGGTTACTCTGGGAGGAGGGAGAGGCAGGCAGACATGCACATTGGAGAGACTATTTGTTATTTCCATCTAATCTCCTCCTTTGCCCTGTTGCTCAAAATGATCGTTTCCTTCTGCTCTCTTCCCTGACTCTCACCAGTGCAGTTTCTGTACGCCTGAAATGGGACATTCATCACAGTCCGTGCAAATCTGTATTGTTGCAGTCAGTGAGAATGTGCTGGTGCCTCTTTATCTCCAGCTGCTCTCAGCTCCACTCTCACACTCTCCAGTTCTCCCTTTCTAGCTTTGTGCTGCGATTCCTCCTCCACCCACCCGATGCACATCCCTGCACACAAATAATATGTTGTCACTAGGCTGTCAGCAAGTCTCTCGGAACAGAAATAGAATCTAATGTTTTATGACAGAAGTTTCCAATTGTAGCACATCCTTCAATACTAGAAGAGTATTTTGCAGGTATTTTTTTTTTAAGTAAAAAACACAGCGTTTATCAAAACAGAAGTATACGCATCCTTGTTTTTACAAAATGTAGTACATCATGTTGCTCACCCTAGGAGATGTGATGGGTGTTTTTTTGCAGAGCTGTGCGTATTTCACAAGGCATCTTTTGTATCTTTATCTGTGGCATGTAGTACTTCTTGTACCAAAAAAATCTTACTTCCCTCACAGTACGAAGCAAAGCTGCCACGTTGCTTGTCTCAGGGGTGAGCCCTGCCCCTTGGAGCAAGGCACGGCTGCCCCAGAGCACATTGTCACCTGGGATGGGCACAGACCCTCCCGACCCGACCGGGTGTCCCCCTGCTCCCTGCAGGCATGAGCTGCCCTGCCTCCCCCTGTGGAGCCGTCCTTAGCACTTCGCTGCAGTTCTGTCTGAAAAGATGCATGTTCAGGACTTCTCTTGTACCTCTGCAAGCCTTGTTCCTCAGTGACACCAGGAATTATGAGCCAGTGGCATACCACGAAACTCTGAGCCTGGAATCTGTGGCGACCCCATGACAAGCATGACTTGAGAGAAATTTAAATGACTTCAGATACTGCCTGGGTGAGGAGAAGTTGTTTATTGAAAACAGCTTTGGTCGACCTTAGAGGAACTTTCTTTTGATAAATAAGAATGTGTTTATTATACAGACGTGATCTGAAGATTTCTTTGTTTCTGTTTTGAAGAGGAGTGGCACTTCGCTAGTGTGAAGCAACTTGTTCATCATCTAAATGAAACCAAGTGCGTTTCTGTGATGTCTATAAATACTGGAGTGAACAGCAAAATTAATTTTATTCCCATCACAGGCTCGAGGAGCTATAAGGCAGCCATTCAGATGCAAAGTGGGATGTACCACTGCAGATGGCTGTTCAGAATTAGGAGGGTGTTTTGCATTGTAAACAAAATATTTAAACGAGGTGTGCTGGAAGAGTTCAGAGAGCACTGGGGAACTTTGCAAGAGATCAGAACAGGACAAAGAGCAAGAATCCCTGCAGGGGTGAGCCGGGAAGGGGAAGGCTGGATTTGTGCCTTATTTATAATCGCTCTTCAAAGCAGTGGTTTCTTTTTGTAAGAAGTAAATAATGAATGGTGGTATTTTTAACCTCCTGCGTTAACCTCTGCATTTCATCTGCAGAAGGACTGTTAGTATCATAACACAGAGCATTCATGGCATCGTTACTAAGAACTGCCTGACTCCATGAACAACAAGTGCAACTCCCAGAGCTGCTGGTTCATGGTGATTGAAAGAACAGACTGGACAAGGAAGAAGGACGATTATTAAATTCAGGCCAAAAGCAAACGCTGGCCAGCAATGAATTCTGGTCAATTCAAGGTGTTTCTTTATTTTTTCCTTAAGTGTATCTGCTCCCCTCACAGATTGGAAGAATTGAAGACAATGCCTTGAAAAACTCAGAGCAGTGTGAAAACCCTAATTTATTAGCAAATAGCAGGGAACTGTCATCAGGTAACCTATATTGTCATTGGCTTGATTTCTAATTCTGCCACCTGCCATAATGCTAAACCCAAGGGTCATCTGAGATGGCAGTCTCTACCAGGAAAAAAAAATGAAATAGTAGATCAGGAGAAAGTTGACAGGCCTGTGGTAACAAGGGACTCATAAAACGCTGCCAACACATTCTAGGAAATTTTGCTAAACACTGTTTAGAAACAGTTCTGATAATTTTAATTAATAAAAAATATCCCTTTCTTCTTGTGGCGTTGCTAAGAATATTTGCATAAAACCTAGCTCCCTGCCTGGTGGTGTTGTGCTAGCATGGCATCAAATCCTCTGTGGGTGCAGCGTTTTTCAGTGCTTATTCTTGATATTACAGGAGACTGGGATATGCTACTGGTGGAATTAGACTAATGAAGAAATACAGCTAGATTAGACTATAAATAAAAAAATTAATAATTTTCAACTTTTTTTCCCCCTGTAATCCATGTTTATTTGGTCTTAAGGTTAAGTAGTCCTTAACCCACAGCGCAGGCAGGTGCGAAGAGCCAAATGGCTGGAAATACTTCACTCAGTTGTGTTATTACTACTGAGCTGCTGGACACAAACAAAACAAACAAACACAGAACAAGGAATTAATCTATTCTAGGCAGTTATATTTTGTTTTCTTTTTCTCCAAAAAGAACGAGTGAGAATTTAAAAAAATGAGCTGTTCCTGTTTGGTTGGATAACTGAACCAAAGTAATTTTTCCCAATTCAGCAGATTCTGTGGCTTTTGCAGCATCCTTTCTAATAGCATCCACCTCTAAACAGCTCAGATGTCAATTCTATTTTCTTCTGTCTCGGCTTCCTCTGTCACCTTCCGTAGAGTTTCAGTCCTTTCCACAACAGAGAAAATTAACACTTTCTGGCATACATTTTTTTAAACACTCCACAAGTGTTTTAATTTTGCTGGTATTATTACAAAAAAACTGCTGGTACTATCACAACAGCTGGCAATAGAGCTTCTAAACTTAGGTCACAGCAACTGCTGTTGGAGTTGATATCGCAACTCATCGTGCTGTGCTGAGCAGAAGTCCCCCCACGTCACCAGAGCCTGGAGCTGGCCTGATCCAGAACAACTGGTGGCAATGGTTTCCTGCTCTCCTGGTGAGAGTGGAAGCGCCTCTTGTACATGCTTGCTTTGCAATAAAAGGTAGTTTGCATGTCCCAGTTTTGACAGCATAAAGCTCCTTTGTTTTCTTTCCTCTTTTTCTTTTTTCCATTTCAGTCATGCATTTGCTCCCCCAAGCTAGTGGGAATGTTCTGAGTGATTTGACCCCCACAGATGTAGTTTCATTCCTCTTGCAGCCTATTCTGGAGCGTCAGAGATTTTCAAGAATTCATCTGTTGTCTTGTATACAGGAGACTACCATTACTTGACAGGCAGCAGAACAGAAGCAGAGACTGACTTTTCTAATTCTGGAAATTTTGTAGTAAGGCTGAGGATTGATTTTCTTCTGGCTGTAGTCTGGTACTTTAGCCACTGAAAAGCATTTCTGCTTTTCCTAATGGCTCATCTCCTGTTGGTTTACTCATCTTAGTAAATAGCAGAAACCTATGCTGATGGGCTGACTGATTACCAAAGCTTTTCTGTGACAAGTGTATTTTATTAGCATGCAGGCAATGGGATTGGATACTTCAGACAGAGAGGGGACAGAGAGGATCTGTCTTAAAAGCAGTCTTACGAAAGGATGCTTTGGCTGAGTTTTATCTTGTGTTGTTTTCACATCTGATAGATAAAGAACCAATGGAAGGCAAAGTGGAGGCACTGACACAAAATGTGTGTAGTGCTTGCTGGAACAAGGTAAGGATGCGTAGGCACATACGTGGTCCCAGCTGCGCTGAGGGATTGATATTGCTGCTATCTACTTGCTCTTTAAACACTTGTATCGTAGATGTTCATATATGCTTGTAATTAATAACTCTTTTCTTCCTTTTCCCTCTAGAGAACCACTTTTAGCTCAGGTCAGCCAAAGAATACTGATAAAGGCACATTTGAGTGGCATGAGCACCACCACAGGGAGCACGCTAAACACTCCACTGTGCTATTCAGCGTGGCTGCATCGATACAGATACTCTTCTTCCATCCAATTGTGTTTTAATCCTGTTTTCTCCTAGGGAATCACAGCTTTGATTTTGCTGAAGACGGGAGATTTAATAGTCGGCACCGGAGAAGGGATTGTGGCGCTCTGTAAAGGGTCAAACTACAAAGCAATGAAGTGAGTTTGTAGGTGGGAGAGTCAGAGGGTAGAGGTGATGCTTCCCCCTAAGGCTCAGGGTGCAAGAACTAATCACTTCTATGGCATGGCATAATCCACATAAATCAGTTTTTCAATCCTGTAGATAAAATAGATGTTGTTAAAATAGACAGGATGGTTCTAGCATAATGAATTTGAAGCAGATTGAAAATTAGTGTATGCTTCTGCATAAAAGTACGTTGCCCTTCTCATAATTCATTTTAAATGACCAGTGTTTCCTTTGGGGCATTAGGATTTAGATCCCAAATTGGTGTAAACTGAGACAGATCTGTTAAGTCAGTAAAATTATGTTTTACGCCACCTGAGGAAGATTAATATTTGCCATTTAAAAAATTTTTGTTGGAGGACATGAGACTGTAAAGGAGTGCTCTCGCTAATTTTATAGGGACGTCTCAAAGTGCTAGAGTCCTTGCAAGGCTTTTTTTCTGCATATGGAATAGGAAGCTGCAGGCTTCACTCTTCAGTAGGTGATTTGGAAATTGGGCTTGCAAACAGTCATTTTGCATCATTCGAATAGCCAGCTTAGGGGTACAGTTCTGAAAGCTTAGCTTTGTACAACTTAAAGTGTTCCCAAAATATCTAAAGTGTATGGAAACATTCTTGAATATGGGATATTTAATTGCACATAAGCAAGAATAGATTTTGCTTTCTCTTGACAGGAGGATTCAAGTTCAAGGTGGTGTCACTTCCCTGACATGCAGAGGCGAGGGGCACCAGTTCTTTGTGGGGACAGACATGTGCCAGATGTATCGAATTAACTACACTGCCTTTAAAGAGGAGCTGATTGCTGCCTGTCATAATGAAGCCTGTTAACGACATCGTTTTTCCTGTGTGAGTATAACTGACTGGGATGCTTTTGGCTGACGATGAAGCCAGGACACCCAGTGTAACACCTTTCAGTGATCGGGAACCCAGAGACTATTAACATCCCGAGGGGATGATTTGTACAGGCAGTGTTGGCACCTACCAGTGAAACATAAGAGTGACAGTGAGCGACTGCGCAAGTACAAAAGGCAGCAGTTCTGCTTGAGAATTGGAAAAATCATTGACCTACAGGAAGAATTCTAAATTAAGGGGCTATAATTGTTTATTTTGGGGTAACAGCAGTGGTGGCAAACTCCCCCCCTCCCCCCTTTCTCTATGGTTGGTGCTGTGAGACCTGGGCAATTTTAGTCTGCCATTAGTGTGAATCTCAAAAATCTGCTTTTGTATGTCCTTTTGCTGCTAGGGTTTGTAGAGGTGTCTGCTTTTCTACCCACCTGGAACATCAGCTGAAACCTGACTAACGTAGCTGTTCAGAGAGGCTTTTTGGGTCTCAGCCTCACTTAGAATTTCACATTTGACAGTATGGCATGCTATATTAAATGATAGGCTTGTGGTGTGTCTTCTGTCTGCATTTGTCTTGTGAACACACAGCAAACATCCCCCCTTTCTGTACAGTAGAATCATGATGTTCTTATGAAAAACAAAGGATCCATTGTTTCCTCCCCCAACAAAGAATGGCAGTTTGATCCTGAAGGAAGTTTTGATATTTGGCATGTTGTTGTTGCATTGCTTCTTGACACAGCACAAAGTATCACATCTTACTCGAGATACAACAAAGAGTGCAGGGTATTAACAGGGAGTGCAAAATGTCCTCGTCCCTGCTTGTCACCAGCCTGAGAAATCCACATCCTTCCAATTTAATGAGTAAATCATTTGGAGCTTTAGAGTAATCTGACACTAATATACCCACCTTGCACATCTGCGTCACAGAGGTATTTGGGTGAGCTGGATTTAGGGATGATAGTAAGGGCTACAGGGCTACATCCTTACATGCATATTTTAAACTCTTTATATGTTAGCTGCTCTTGAACAGTGCATATCACTGACTTGGAAATACAGACTTAATTTCCCTGTTCTGGCTTATTTCAGAACACTTGAATTGCTGACATTGTTCTGCTTTATAAAGCACCTGCACAAGCTTGGCTTGGAAGAGGCTATGCTTTTTTTTAGTCAGTTTCCCCTGTACTGGTTTGTCTTTCCAGGTGTTGATGGTGATATTGAGCAAAAGGATGTGGCACCTCTCTAGATTTCACTCTGTCATATCCACTGGAGACGTGGTTTGGTTGTCCTCATGCATAATGAATGTAGCATTTTCTGCCAGATAGGGTTAATCCCATCCTGCAGAAAGTGGTGGTGGTATAAAAACATGCCCTCACTGTCTCCTTTTGTTTGCTTGTTTATTGATATACTTTAAGAGCTTATTTCAAAGTATTTGGTGCCATAGCTTTTGTAACATTGCAGAAGGTCTTTTTTATTCACATGTGTATACCAAGTATATTATGAACAGGCTTTTACCATTTTCTCTATTGCCTTCAGCAGCGTTGAATAGGAACCATCCAGTAAGCAAGATCAAAAATGACATCCTTATAATACACGGCTGTTGTTAGTCCCTGATGTTAAACCTCAGCAGTCAGCACCTCAGCACTCACTTCTCTCTCTATTAGGTGCAACAATAGAAGATTTCTAGAGATTGAATATGGGAAATAAACTTCACCTAAAGCAGGAAGAGTTATTTTAGTTTAATATACCTGTTCCTTAAAATTAATCTTTGCATTAGAAACCTAACCAGGGGAATTGTTCTAATAAAGGTCTTTCAGTCTTAACCATGGTGATCCCTACTGAAAAGATTACAGCTGTACATTAGAAACAGATGAGCTTTAAAGGATGGTTTAAGATCTGAGACGGAAGCTTTTTGCTCTCTGCCTCCTCTCGTTAGCTCTTCTCTCTGAATTCCCCAGGGGAACTTCCGACTTGTTTGCCACCTGCTCCAAAAATGACATTCGTGTGTGGCACACCCCGGAAAACAGGGAGCTGCTGCGGATTGTCATCCCCAACATGACCTGCTATGCCATAGAGTTCATGAAGGATGGCAAGAGCATCATTTCAGGTACCGGGCAGCCCAGGCCCATGTGAGTCCGTTCTGTAAGTGCTGCTGAATCTAATAAATGTTATCAGTGTATTAGAATGAAGAAAGGTTTAACCTGGGAGTAGTTCCAGTTCGTTGCTGTGACCCACAGGCCCCTTTGCTTGCAGCTGGTCCAACGGGCTCTGCTGCCAGCCCCTGGGTACCTTGGGGCTGCAGTTATAGTGTTACATGGAAGGCGAGATTTTGCCTGGGATGTGAATTCCAGCAGTTCAGAACTCGGTTCAGTCTTACTGCAGTAAGACTTAATTCTAAAATATTAACCCTGACATATGGAACAGATTAACCTATGATGTACATAGAACAATTGTCATGTAAATTTGCTGGTCATTGCCATGTGCAAGTTGCCTACACAGGACCTACCACAGCTCTAGAGCAGCAATGCTGTCCTGTCCCTCCACTGTTACAAAACTAATTTGTCCACAGCCAGAACCAAAAAGGAATTAATTTTTAATAGTTTATGTGGGACTGTGTATTATAAAGGAAGTTAATAAGAAAGGGTTAATTTGGACCAGAAAGGAAAGCAATAGCTTGAGGAAAGTCTCTGCTGCCTGGATAATCTGTTTCTTTATATTCATCAGCTTGGAACGATGGAAAAATCCGTGCCTTCATGCCAGAGACTGGACGGCTAATGTATGTGATTAACAATGCCCATAGTTTGGGAGTGACAGCAATTGCTGCTACAAATGACTGTAAAAGGATCGTTAGTGGAGGAGGTGAAGGGCAGGTAATATTTTGCTTTAAAAACCCAGAGCAGCTTTGTGCTCTCATCACAGGACCTGGGAAAATTGTCTGTAACTGCTTAGTCAGAGAGTGAGCTATTCTTAGCTTCCACTTGAGCAGAGGACTGAGTCTGAAAATATTAGCCTTTGATATATGCAGAGCTCTTGTTCTCAGAGGGTATAATATGAAACAATGCTCCATTTTCTTCTGGCATGTTAGTCTAGGAAAATCCTTCTGATGTAGAACATGCTCTTAATCCTCCTCTTTGTTCACGTCTCTTCCCCTATATTTGGCTTATCTGCATTTGTCATTGTTTGCAAACCTGTGTCTGACTGTGCTCTCACACAGATTTTCTTCCTGTCATTGCTTTGGAAGTCCTAGTCCTGTCCAATGTGACCTGTATGAATTCATTTAATAGCATGAAATTCACTTTCTGTGGTTATATTTTCTGTGGGCAACTTAGTAATTTTCTGGGTTGGTAATATCTGGTTTCAGTGGTGATATTAATAGAAGACTAATAATTTGGCTTATAATACATTTATGAAAATGTTCCAACTGCACATAACACAAATCAGGAAACATGTTTTAGGCATCATACTTGTGCACTTCAATAATTTTCTTCCAGCAATACAAAACTAATACCGTGTACTTTGGCTACTCCATGCACTGCATTTAATTGTAGCCTCTTTCAATCTGAAAAAGAGACTGCTGTATTTTTTCCTAATTTTTAAATCATTTAAACATACGTTGTTTATACTGATTTATATTAAAAATAAGCAATTAGACTTGGCTGCATGTTCAATTTCTTACTTTCCTTTGGACTTCCTCTGTACAGTCTGGCAAGCACTCAGAACCAGACATTTAAGTGTATCCTGACAGATTTATCTGCTCTTCTGCTTTGTTTGTGTACCGTGATGGTGGTCTTCAGTGTGCCATGCTGAAGATTGCACAGGAAGTCTTGAAGAGTGAGGCATTGAACTTGGGTCTTCCAAATCTCAGGCTAATATCCTAATCAATGAACCATCTTTCAGAATCATTCTGTGCCTCAGCTCTCCCGTAGAGTGGTAGCAGCAGCACTGCCTTGTCTAACGGCATAAAGACGTTAGAGATGATGAGCCACTTCAACCCTTCACTAATAAAAGAACAGCTAAGTACCTTGGATGATTAGCGCTAGAGGATGCAGGAGATAGGAGACCTAGATTCCATACAAACACACGGAATGGCACAGGCTGCGGTTAGTTGATCTCTGAATTGAAAAAGACAGCTGAGACAGAATTAAAGCTAGAAGGTTGGTTAAGCAGAAATGAGAACTGCTGGGGAGCACTTGCAGCATTCATTCAAAACACAAAGAGGTGTTCTGAAATGCTAATGGTTCTGTCAGAGTCAATCGCCTGAAAGCTGTGACATTCAGGGCTTCTTAAGGGGTCTGGATGCTCCGGTCATGTAGCCAGCAGGAATTGGACATCCAGATCCCATGGGTAACTCGGCATCAGGCTTGAAAACATGGAAGGTCAGCACTCTGCTTTTGATCCCAGCGTCTAAATTACTAAATCTGCACCAGCGTTTGACCTTAGTGGAACGTAAACGCAAGCTGATACCATGAAGCTTGGCACCTAGTGGGACAGTAAATGCAAGGTGTGAAGAATCAAGTCCTCAAAGCAGAAAGATTTCTGCCTTGACCCTCTCTGGGAAAAGAGGTGCTCTCAGGACACATACCTCACATCAAAGATGTAAAGAGCTGTTTTGTATTTACTAGCATTATAAGTACCACAAATAGCAGGTAGCTTTTTTAAATGTGATTTCAGAAGCCTTGCTCTTTGATCTTTAAAGCACTGCCAGAAATATATCATGGACTAGGTGCTTATTCCTGACTGAGATACAAGTACACTGAAACATGGGAGGGTGTGGGCTCGCCAAAACATTATTTTAGGATTAATGGTCAGGAATTCCCAAACCAACTGGATTACACTCTCAGGAATCTATCTAGAGGATAGGTTTAGATTACACATTAAGGAAGAAGTTTTTCACTGTAAGGGTAGTGAGGCCCTGGCACAGGTTGCCCAGAGAAGCTGTGGTTGCCCCATCCCTGGTGTTCAAGGCCAGGCTGGATGGGGCCTTGGCCAACCTGACGACCAAGGGGTGGCATCCCTGCCCATGGCAGGGGCTTGGAACTGGACTGATCTTTAAAATCCCTTCCACCCCTGAGCCATTCTGTGATTCTATGAACCCAGCTCAATTTTATTAGTCAGCTGCATGAGTAACTCATGGAAAAATAGTGACAGTCCATTGAGATTCAGTTGCCATACAAGTTATAAGGGAAGTGCAGAGTTTAGGAAAGCCTTGGACATCCTGCTGAGCTCAGAACCAGGCACTTAAAGCTGATGTTTGCTGCTGATTTTCAGGTGAGGGATCTGGGCAATTGGTGAGAAGACTCGCAAACTGGAAGCAGTTCTGAAGGAGCACATATCTACTGTGTCTTGCATTAAGCTTAAGAAGAATGACCAAGAGTGTGTCACAGCCAGCCTCGATGGAACGTGCATCATCTGGGATATTGTGTAAGGAGACAGATGAGTACTGCAACATGTTTAAAGCGCTGGTCACTGTTGGGTCAGTGTGTCCTACCACAATGTGGTGAGGAAGAAGAGGAAAAAAAGCCTTAGAAAATGAAAATTACTAGAAAGAACAGTCAAGTCAGGAAAAGCAGAAGCTCCAACGCTGGAAACTTTTCAGAAAAGTTCAGACAAGCGTTGATCCCAAGCTGTTTAGTTGGATCAAATTGTGTATCAGGCAAGGGGATGGAGCGAATGATTTCCTTTCAGCTAGCTCTGTCTTCCAGCACTGTATGACTCTGGTCCATCTATTGCAGGTCTCTAGATTTTCTGTACTGTCATAGGGGTAACAATATTCTTGTGTAGTGTGTAGCACCTACAAAGCATTCTGGACTAAAAATCTTTTTTTCATGTGATGGCAGATCAAAAGTCCTACAAGGCAGCTGTGATAGGAAATGGAACCGATGAGCCTAAATTGGCTTCATGAAATCCTGAAGTTGGACCAGTACCTGAAAGTATCCAACTAGAAAGAGATATCTGATGTATAGCACAGGTGGAGAGAGTTCAGGCAGTCAGAATTTGATTTTTGACCTTATTGTTCTATCCTGTTTTGGGGTGTTTTGCAGGCGTTCTGTAAGAAAACAAATGATTCTAGCCAACACATTGTTCAAATGTGTGTGTTACCATCCTGAAGAGTATCAGCTAATCACCAGTGGGACAGACAGAAGGGTAAGCAAAACTCCAGGAATTCTGTTGGCAGTAATCCTAGAACACAAAGTCTGGTTACAGACATTTCAAACAGCCAGAATCACACAAGGTCCTTGATAAAGCCAGGCCAGTGCAACCTAGGGAAGGCTTCCCATACAAGCAGGGGCTTGTGAAGGAGCTCCCATACTTTGATAGAAGTTTGTGTTGCAGGACAGCACTGAAATCTTGTGCTATTTATGTACAACTGAGCTCTCATCTCTGATCTGCTCTCTAGATTGCATACTGGGAAGTGTTTGATGGCTCTGCGATCAGAGATTTGGAAGGCTCGCTGTCGGGCTCCATCAATGGGATGGACATCACGTCAGATGGGGCGTACTTTGTCACAGGTGAGTGGGTGGATGAAACTAGGAAAGAGGAGACCAGGAAGAGCAAGGCAAGGGTCTCAGTAAAGAAAGAAAAAACTAAAAGGAAGGTCAGCTAAAAGGCAAAATAACATGAAACACTAAATAAAAATACTTTGGAAAAGGCTGTGATTCAGACTTGGCAGATGCTATGGTTCAGTCTTGCAAGGTGTAATTTAAAGGTTAAGATGAGGTTCAGATGTCCCCAGGCGAGTACAGGGTTGCACCTTGCCCTGCTCCTCATGTAGTTCCATCATGTTCACGGTGCACTTGGATGATTTGTTCAGGTGTCCTCCTCCAGAAGCTTGGCTCTCTGTTAGTTTGCAAGCGTGTGTGGCTCCAGGCTTCATCCAGCCTCAGGCTCACACATTCCCCACCGCCGTGACATCTCTTCTGGGAACCTAGCACTAGCGTAGAGGAGCTGTGGTACTGTATTGTATGTTATTGACTGTAGCTACAACAGCAGGCTTTGTGTCAGCACCAGGTTTTAGATTAACCCAGTAAGCCAGCGCTGGCTAAGAGCCTTTTGAAGGCTCTCAGCTCTGGTACCAGCTGCTGGCCATAGCTTACTGGTGCTGCTGGTGCAGGTCCTGAGTCCTCTACCGGCCACTGACTCTGCTTCAGCTGAGCAGAAGTGGGCTTTGCCATAATGCTCAAGACAGTGTATCCCACCCTTCCTGCATTAAATGAATGCCAAAGTATTCCCCTGCCTGTCAGCTGGGAACAAAAAGCAGCAGAACTCTGTGTAATCGTTTGTTCTTCCTTTGTGCCCGCTGCAGGTGGTGATGACCATCTGGTGAAAATGTGGGACTACAAGGAGGGTACAGTGACTCATGTTGGAGTGGGCCACAGTGGCAACATCACCCGTCTCAAGATCTGCCCTGGGAACAAGTACATCGTGAGTGTGAGTGCAGATGGTGCCATCCTGCTCTGGAAATACCCAGACTTTCCCTAACAGCTGGCACAGGAGCTGCTGGGCTGCTTCTTCCTTGGCCCATCCTAAAGGTCCTTTCTGCTTACAGATAAGGTTGTTTTAAAGCATTTGTACTGTTAGAGGAGAGAACCATTTTTCTACTCTCTGGTATGAATTTACCAGATCCTCCAGATGTCCTTTTTAGCACTGAATGAATAGGTCTGATTATTTTTATTTTTTCGGGGGGGCTAAGAATTTCCTCTTCCTCTTAGTTTGGAGTGGAAGTATTCATCACTTCTGAAAATCATCCCGGCTGTTGTAACACTGGTGTTTTGTTACTGCCACCTTTTCTGACAGTCTCTTAGCCTATTCTTGCTTGTGTGACTGCTCATTTGTGTGCTCTCTCTCTTGTTCTTCCCTGCCCCCTTCTGTCCCTTTCTTTAATGAATAACTTGTTGTGTAAATTCAGTCTTCTGTGTTCATTTTAATTTGTCGGGTGTTGATTAAGGAGAAAGCCCTCAGCTCCAACTCAAGTGTTTAACTAGGAGGCTCTTTTGACTCAAGCTTTTAAATCAATGTTCTCCAAGGAATGCCAGGTCTTTTGGGCTTCTTCATTTGCAGTGTCCAATCTAAAACTCTGTTCAGAGGCCTGATTTTCAAAAGTGAGAGCGCAATCGTTTCTAGAAATGCCTGGATGTCTCCAGCTGGACACATACAAATTCCCCGTCATTGCCCTAATTTTTCAAGCAGGCTCCAAATAGCACAAAATATGTATTCTGTCCGAGAATGAGTATCTGGTATCACGTCTGGCATTATAGCCAACAGCTCTCGAGATACTGTTTGTTTAAAGATCAGCGTAGGCAGCCAGTCTGTGAAGTGATGCAAGTGAAGTAAATATTTCTCCTGCAGGCACTGCGAATTCTGTACATAAATTGAAATTGTAGCAAAATGTTGTATTCCTAATGTTAACGCTTAGAGACAGTTAACTAAGCTGATGATTTAAAGGCCGTGTCGTTTAGATACTGCCACACCTGGACTGGTAGGAGAGCTGTTTTGGTATGCGATGGGGGATAGGCATTTTACGGGATGATTGCTTGTTATTCTTTATGTGCCACTGGAAATGATTACTGCTCACAGCACATCCTTTTAGACCGGCTCTGGGGGTATCTGCACGTGTTGCCCATCAAACACCATGCAAGTCATATTCCTTCTGGTTGAAATATCTCAGCTGTTATTAACGGAGTCTTGAGCAAAGGAATTAAGTCATTCCTTCCTCTTTTTCTTTGGATTCAAGGCTCGCTGCTATGCAGCAATAAACACTCCGGCAGGTTTTACAAGCTCTGCAGCAGTGCTCACTGTGGTTTGGAAGGCAGGATCAAACCGCTGGAATGTGGGATGGACAGGCAAAACATTCGTGCTTGTGTAGGACAATACAAACAGAAACTGTGTGTGAGAGCTCCCCGGCCAGCCCCAAAGAGCCCAGGGCAGCACGGGCAGCGTGGTGCCGGATCCCCAAGCCCCCAACACCATTAGCTCAGTGCAGCCCAGCTGGGACAGGGCTCAGGGCACCGCCAGCTCCCCGTGTACCTGGAGGGGAAGGGCTCGAGATGCAGGAAACCTCTCCAGCAGTCCTTACTGCCAGCAAAGGAATTCCCTTCCCCTCAGGTTGCACCAAACCTGTCGATATGGGCAGGAGCAGGAGCCAAGTACCCGGCGGGGCGCCAAGATCCTGTTTCTGTGTGGCTGGTCCGTGGTGTAAGGTCCAAAGCCTCCTGTGTTATCTGGTTCTTCTCAGCTTGGAGGCAGCAAGATGGGCTGGGCTTTCCAGACTTGTCTGGCCACAGTCATCTGCTGACTCTGGCAGACGGGAGCTGACACGCTGAGGGTAACCACGTTTTGTTACCAGCACCAAGGAGGCTCGGGCTGTGTGTCTGCTACTGGCAGCTTACAGGTGGGAAAGCTGTGAGCAGAGACATGGAGAAATCCTGTCCTGCACCTTTTTCTTTTCAGAGTGAAGGGGCCATCAACGCTAGTGAAGCCAGCCCAAATCATAAGCACGGACACTGACCAAGTTCACTCGCTCCAGCGCAGCAACCCAGTGCAGGTCACTGCCCGCAGCGGTGTTCGGCATGCGATGGCAGCACAGCACCGTGCTGCTGTACACCCTGACCCAGTGCCCCCGGAGGAAGCCATGCTGTGGTGTCTTTGCAGCTGCAGGGGTAGAGGATCCCTGGGGCAGGACCCTCACGCTGCACTTCAGAGGTGATAACCACATTCAGGGCATTTAGGCTGGCTGTGGGCAGCTCTGTGACCTCGGAGTATGTGGCTGTACGTGGAAAAGACAGGGCAGTGGGGGCTCAGCCAGGCTCTCGTAAGCTCTTCAGCTTTCCAGGCAGCTCAGCAGCGCTCCTTGCTCCCCCCGCACATCTCCCAGCAGTGCTAAGAGCAGTGCACACTCCTCACCCGCACAGCTGGGGTCCCTGGGGAGCCCCTGGAGCTTTACAAATGGATGTGACCTACATGAATAATGCCGAGCAGCCGAGAGGCAGAGCAACCCGTGCCTCTCCTCCATCAGAAGTCAGGCTCTATTTGGAAAGCATGAGCTGCAGTCGCACGTTTCCCCATTAGGCGCTTGCCTGACGGCAGGCAAATTGTGCCTCAACGTGAATTACTCATTACACTGGCATTACTCACAGGAGCAGCCCTGTTCCTAACGGAGCCCTACGAGGCTCTGCCCGGAGCCAGCCGTAAGGAGGGCAGCACTGCCAGGCACAGGGAGGTGCTGCTGCTCCCGTCACATCAACAAGAGCAACGAGGTGTCGCTGCTGCAAGCCGTGTTTGCACACACATCTCTCCCCGTGTATCTCCCCGAATTCCCAGGAGGAGCAGCAGCAAGTGGCAAGACAGCAGCAGACAGGCTACGGCAGCGCAGCCTGCGTGAGCAGCACGGGCGTGCTGTGCACTGCCTGGGTGATGGAGCCAAACTGTGCTCCTGGGGGAGAGGGGGTGAAAATGAGTGAGGGGCAGTGAAAATTGGGCATGTCCTGGCTTTTGGAAATGGCTTTTTTTAATAGGAGAAAAAAAAAAATGTGAGAGTTGTGTGATGCCTGTTGTGTGCTCCAGGAGCAGGTGGCTCTTTGGGTGGGTGAAACTGATCCTCGGCTTTATGGCATGGAGCCGAGGGAAGGGAGACCTGGATTTCTGTCTGTGTGGCACGAACTCACAGCGTGATGCTGTGCTGGGAGCTCCTTGCCACCAGCAATTTGGCCCCCAGGCTGCCATTCCCCGCTCCGTGGAGGACTTTGTGGCGTGCTGGCTTGCAGCCTGCAGAAGGGCTCACGTTGTTGTTGTCTTGCTCTGCCCTGGCACAAAAGCCTTTTAGTAGTTTTTTTAACACACTGGCATTGAAATAACTTTGCAGAGTTTGTTGATTTGTGCATTGCTCGGTGCCTCAGGGTGTCTGCTGGCTGGAGGTGAATCCCCCAGTGCTCAGAGTGGGGGGAGCCCAGCCCCAGGCTGCCCCACGTCCTGCAGCAGGCGGGCAGCAAGTCCCCGGGGGTTCAGTTGGCACAGACCTGGCCAAGAGAAGTCACAGCACAGACACAGAACCAGAGGATGGCAGGAGCATGGAATGGTTTGGGTTGGAAGGGACCCTAAAGATCACCCAGTTCCACACCCCCACGTGCGCAGGGACTGATGGAGATTGCAGGGCAAAGTCATTGCTCTACTCCAGAAGCACTCTGTAGGCTGCCAAGCGAGTCCTTAGGCTAACGCAGCCCAGGAGGAGCAGCTGGGTGTGCTCTGCCCTGCCTATCGCACACACCCGGAGCGTGGTGGGGCGCTGCTCCTCACCCCAAATCACTCCGTCCCCAAAAAGCCAGGGCTTTCCCAGCCCCCTGCAAGAACTGAGGTTCCTGGTTATGACAACATGGGGATAGATGTGCGGGGCTCTGCACGCTGATTTTGTTCACCCTGGAGAATCCAGAGGGATGTGAGTACCTGTGGCTGGAGGTCGGTTCTCACCCGAATCCTTGGCTTGTGGCTGCTGTAACGGGGCTCACGTCTTCTGTACCCCCCTGCGGCAGGGATCTCAGCTTCCACCTTCACAGGGGACAACGGGTAAAAATAACCCAAAGACACCTACCCAGAGCAGCCCCTTGGGACCATACATATTCGTGACAAACAAAGCAAAATTGCAAACAAAGTGTGAGCTCGAGCAGCCCAGGGGCAGCACGAAGTGGCCGCTGACCTTTTGTGTTGCACGCTGCAGGAGCACGTTCGTCGGCTGTGAGCTCCCCGGACCGGCGGCGTTCACCTGCCTCGCTGCTGCGCCTCCGCTCCCAAAAAGGCAGCACCCATGCATCTTTCATGTGGCTGCTAAATAACTTAGCTTGCTATCTATAATTTAATTGGAGCGAGGAGGTGTCTCCTGCAGGAGGAAGCTTTCCCCTTCTGCCTTAAGCCACGAAGTCGGATGGCACCATTAGCAGGTGGCCCCCCCGTAACGATGTGGGGCTGGCATTATGGATTTCCTCGGGAGCACAGAATCTTTAAAACAGGCGCAGGCTTCGGTTGTCCTCGCTTGCACCCAGAAAGCACTTACCACCTCCAGATCCCCCCTGTGAAAGCAGGCTCCCAGCCCGCCCCACAGATGTTCCCAGCCCGCACCGAGAGAGCAGGGAGGCTTTGATAAAGAAAACATTGTCCTGGGGCAAAACTCAGCGAGCGTGAAGACTTCTTTTTTCTTCTTTTTGCTGTGATTTGGCAGCATCGCAATGGGTTTCTGCTGGGCTGGACTCAGCTCAGCTCGGGGCTGTTGAGGGTTTTGTTCCCGCACCCTCCCTGACACCCCGGTGCTGCCCTGCACGGATTCTGCCTCCCCGCAGGGCTCGTTTCTGCCACAGGAACCTCCCCGTGGTTTTATGCCGCCTGCCATCCGCGGCACCAGGGCAGCCCGTGCCATAGCAGCACGGATTTTTTCAGAACAGCAGGCGGGTATTTTCCCACTCTCTTTGTAGCTGATATTTAGGTTTTCCCCACCCCACGTTTGCTCCACTGTCTGAGCCCGATGTGTGCAACACGTCAGCTTGCATGGCAGAAGCCTGAGAAAGTTAGGGGGCGCCCGAAAAAGGCATCTAGACAAAAAGCACTTACACAACCCAGCGCTGCCTGCGTGCTGCAGCGCCAATAAATATTTGATTTGAGCGGAATGGGAAGGCACGGGGTCCAGAACCGTGCGAAGAAGAGTGAGAGTTGTGAGCAGGATGATACAGGAAGGCGGATTAACATAGCGAGCGTTCCTGGCCCTCACCCCAACGTGGGAATCGCTCGCTCCCAGCCAGGAGGGGCCGGTGCTACCTGCAGGAGGGGTGGCAGCAGGGGCAGGCGGTGCCACCAGCGCCGTGCCCCGTGTCACAGCTGGCTGGGACCCCAGGACAGCAGCTTCTGTGGCCTGGCACGTTTCCTTGTCTAATTTGGGCAGGCTTGGTTGTTTTTTGGTTCAGGGCTGTTTCACTCTCACTTTTCTGTTCTCTTTCATGTGCCCAGCAGGTTTGGCTTTCTAATTCCCACCGCTCGCAGTGGCCACACCTGGTGACCATGTTCCTGTGCCCTCGCTTTCCCCGTTGCCCTCCCGTGCTTTCCGTAGCACCCAGGCTCAGGTCCCCGGGTGCCCCCATCTCAGCAGCACTGCCTCGCTGCTGTGCGGTGCTCAGGGGCGATGCCACCGTCCTGGTGCCCCCATCCCCGGGCAGACCCACAGGGGCTTTTGTTTGCAGCCTGCTGGGAGCTCCCGGGGTTGGCGATGCCCGCTCCTCCCGCAGCACGTGAAGCACAATTTGGAGGAATCCCCGCATCCTCCCCGTTTCCATCTCCTGCCTTGGTGCCGGGGAGCCCCGGGGCTTTGCCCTGCAGACCGTGACCTCTGCAGAGGGGCAGAGCCGATGCCGATTCTCCCTCCAGCTGCTGGGCACCACCGGGCCCCGACGGATTGTACCCGATTGTACCCGATCCGGGGCCGGTGCCCGCTGCCCCCTGTGCCCCCCCGGCCGGCCTCCAGCCTCGGCTCCCCGGGGGAGGTCGCAGCCTCCCGGTGGCCCCCAGGGACCCGAAGCGGGCACAGGACGGGGCCACCGGGGCGCAGCCGCTTCCACCGCCAGGAGCTGCAGCTCCTCCTCCTCCTCCTCTTCCTCCTCCTCCTCTCCTCCTCCTTTCTCTTCCCCTTCTCCCGGAGCCAGCCCGGCCGGGGGAGGAGCCGCCCTCGCACACAAAACCGCCCTCCCCGGCCCCACCGGCTCCCCACCGGCGCCCAGCGCCCGCCCGGGGCCATGCGCGCCCCGACGGCTCCGGCACCGGCACCGGGACGGAGCAGCACCGGCACCGGGCGGGCGCCGCCGCCGCCCCCCGGGGCCATGAGCGCGGCGTGGGGCGGCCCCGGGGGGCGCTGGCGGGGCGGGGGGGGGCGGCGGCGGGGGGCTCGGCGGCGGCCCGGGGGGGCCCGGGGGTGCCGGGGGTCCCGGGGGGCGCTGCGCTCTCTGGGCGGCCTGGCCGGGCGGCTGCTGCGCGCATGGGGGCGCCTGGCGGGGGGGCGCGGGGCGCAGCGGGGGGAGCCCGAGGACGACGAGGGGGGCTTCGGGGGCGGGGGGGGCAGGGGGCGGCGGGCACCGGCATCGGGACCGGGGTCGGGGTCGGGGCGGGGGTCGGGACCCGGGGGCGGCGGGACCGGGATGGGCACCGGGACCGGGACGGGGACGGGGATGGAGGCGGGGACCAGGGTGGGGACCGCGATGGGGACGGGGCTGGGGACCGTGTCCCGGCCGCCGGGCGCGCAGGGGCTGCGGAACCACGGCAACACGTGCTTCATGAACGCCGTGGTGCAGTGCCTCAGCAACACCGCCCCGCTCGCCGAGTTCCTCGCCCTCGGCCGCTACCGCGCCCGCGGAGCCCGAGCCGAGGTCACGCAGCGCCTGGCGGCCCTGGTGCGCGCCCTCTGGACCCTCGACTACAGCCCGCGGCTCTCCGCGGAGTTCAAGGTACGGCCCCAACGGCCCCAGCCCGGCCCCAGCCCGGCCCCGGCACCCCACGGCCGCTCAGCAGCTCCCACGAGCCGTGGTGACCATGCACGGAGCGCGAGGGCTGAGCCTGGGGCTCCCTCCCGCTGGGTGCTTGCTGCCTGCTGGGCGCTCTCACCCCGGTGTTTTCTTTATTCCCCTTGCACTGAGCTCCCTCGCGGCAAAGAGAGCGCAGGGCAGGTGCCCCACAAGGGTTCAGCCTCGGTGCTGCCTTGGCACCCTGCTGCCGGGGCTCTGCCCGCCTGGGGTTTGGGCACTGTGCCTGTGCCCGGTGCCCGGTGCTGTCCGTGGCCGGCTCGGTGACAGCTGGGTTTGGTGACGGTGGCACCCGGCTGGCGCTGCGTGTCCCCGGTGATTTGTGCTCGAGGTGTGGGGCTTGCTGCGATCCCAGCAGTGCGTCCGCTCAGCCAGGGGCTGGGCCCTGAGACCGAGCTGGGCAAAGCTGGAGGGGACCTTGGGGGGCACCCAGCTGGGCTGAACACCCCCCCACTTTGCTCTGCTCGGCAGAAGGGGAAACTGAGGCACGGGGCAGCGCCAGTGGCCATGGAACTGGGGGGTCCCCAAGGCCGAGCCTTGGTTGTGAGGGGCTGGAGCTGAGCAAGGGAGAGTGTGAGACCACAGGCTTCGGGGCGTCAAGGTTGTTAGAGCCTCTGTGGGGCTGTTAGCTGATGAACTGCCTAATTAGGGAAGCCTTCGTTACCGGGATGTGCCAGCCAGTTGGAGGGTGCTGGGTGCAGGGGTCTGCCCGTGTGGCACCATGTGGCATTGGGCTGAGCACGCCCCGGGGTGGCACCGCCAGCCTCACCCCACTGGGGAAACTGAGGCACGGGGTGGCACCGGGCTGGCAATGAGGTGCTGCTGATGGGGTGAGGGTTTGGCCAGGCTGGGGGGGGTCTTTGGTGAGAGCCCCGGCCCCAGGAGCATCCCCACTGCCTGCTGGGCCATCAGTGGTTCCTGGTGCCCAAAAGTTGTTGCACAACGAGCTGCTGGGAGATGCTCCCTGACCGGCCCAGAGCTGCTGTGACAGCCCTGCAGCCCCCGGGACAGCGGGCACCGGCCCGTTATGGGCTTAATTACTGCGGGCTGGGGCTGGGACGGGATCAGGGCCTCGTGCCGGGGTGTCAGTTGTCTCTGGGACGTGTCCCGGGGCTCAGCGCCGTGGCCTTGCAGAGCATCGTGTCCAAGCACAGCGCGCAGTTCCGGGGCAACGCGCAGCACGACGCCCTCGAGTTCCTGCTCTGGCTGCTGGACCGCATGCACGAGGACCTGGGCACCGCCTCGCCCGCGCAGGGGCCCTGCGCCACCGCCGAGGTGGGTGTCCCCGCTCTCAATGTCCCCGTGTCCCCGTCCCCAGCGAGGTGCCAGTGCCTGGTGTGACAGAGGACAGGGCCCTCTGTGCCCCCCAGCGTCCTTTTGGCAGCAGCAGCTCTCAGAAGCTGAAGCCACCCCTTGCACCCCATGGGCAGCGCCCTCTTCCCGGGTGTCCCCCCACTGTTTTGGGGTCCCCGTGGAGCCCAGCGCCTGTCCTGGGTCCCTGCAGCACCCGTGGGTGCAGCAGATCGCTGCTGGGAGCGGTCTCGGTGGCACTTTGGCTCCAAAGCGGTGCCTGCGGGGGGCACTTTGTGCTTTCCCTTCTGCTTTCAGAACCTATTAAACAGGAAGAAAAGCTGAAGCACGCTTTTTGCCATCAGGCAGCAGCTGCTCAGGCGGCTGGGTGGGAGCTGGGAGCACAGCGAGCGCCTGAAACCCCCTGGGAGAAGTCAGCGCCTGCGTCCCCCACCCCAAAACCTGCTGCTGGTGTCACGCGGGGTGACACGGGGTGGGGACGCTGTGGGATGCAGAGTGCAGACACTGGGTTTGGGGACATTCTGAGCCAGGGCTGCGGTGGCACAACCCCAGTGTGTCCCCTGTGCCCTGGGGACAGGCAGGAGCCGCTGGTGACAGCTCTCTGGTGGGGCTGAAACAGGCGCTGGGTCTAACCTGAGCAGCCCCAGGGGTCCGAAGGGTTTGCTGCTCAGAGGGCTGGAGCAGGAGGAGGAACCTCCAGGAGATTTGGGACAATTTGGGGGAATCAGAGTGGGCACAGGCAGTGCTCAGAGTGAGTCAGGTCCCCCTCTGACACGGCAGATGGCCCCCAGCAGGCCGTGAGGACACGTCAGGCTCAGCGGGACCTGGTGCCAACAGATGGCACCAGGAAAACCCACGGCCCGTCCAAATACCTGCTGCATTTTCAGGCTTGCTCATGGCCATACCGAAAACTCTTCATTCCCTATAACAGCCCAGTCCTCCAGCAGCATCTCACCGCTGGCTGTGCGCACCCTGAGGGCGCCCCTTTCACAGGGCTGGAGGCTGAGGCAGGGCAGGGAGAGGGGCCCCTGGTTTCCAGCAGCCCGAGCCCTGAAAAGCCGAGCACTTGTCAGGTTTTCATCCGTGTCCTGTAAGGATCAGAGCAGGGGAGCTCGCAGGGCAGCTCACTGCCACGGCTACCACAGGGCTCAGCTGTCTCGGGTCCTCCCTGCCCCGGGGCTGCTCCTGGCTGAGGCTTTGGGCCGTGCTGCCCACGTGGGGATGTGCCCAAAAATCCCCCATGGGGCCAGGCAGGGGTCGCTCCCCGTGCCGCAGAGCCCGTGGGGACGCCACAGCCGTGCCTGACTCCCCGTGCCCCCGCGGTGCCCCGGGCTCACCCCGCTTGTCCCTTGTCCCCGCAGCCTGTCCCGGAGCAGAGCAGCAGTGCCGGCGGTGCCGCGGCACCCCGCGCGCAGAGCTTTGTGCAGAGCCACTTCCAGGCGCAGTACAGGTGAGCGAGGGCCGAATCCTGCCCTGGGAGCAGCGCCGCAGCCGCGTGGTGCTGCCGGAGGGGGGGACAACCAAGGGCTGGGACCCCCTGGGTCTGCTGGGCTGGGAGGGCTCGGGGAGGAGGGCAGCGAGGGGACACATCTGGAGGTGCGGAGGAAAGAGAGGGGGGAAAAATGGAAAGGGGAGGGAAAAGGAGAGGAGGGAAAAGGAGAGGAGGGAAAAGGAGAGGAGGGAAAAGGAGAGCAGTGCTGGCTGCTGGCATTAAGCATTGATTTGAGCCGGGCTGTGCTGGGGCTGCGCAGCCAGCACCAGGTCAGCTGCAGTCACTGCGGTGCCATTGATAGGGTTCAGAGTGAACGGCCGGCCGGGGCTGTGCGTGGCTCTGGGTAGGCACCGTGGAGGTGACACAAGCGCCCCCACCTCCATCTCACAACCCCGGTGGGGCCGTCCCATCTGTGTGGCTCCATGCCGTGCACCTTGGGGACGTGCCAGCGCCGTGCCGCGCCCCGCAGGTCCTCGCTGACGTGCCCGCACTGCCTGAAGCAGAGCAACACCTTCGACCCCTTCCTCTGCGTCTCGCTGCCCATCCCCACGCGCCAGACCAGGTGAGCCCCCGCACCCCCCCACTCCCCCAAAACCAAAAAATTCGCACAATTGGGGTCAAAAGATTTGTGGTGTGGGTGCTGTGACAGGAGGGTGCCGGCCGAGGGGGCGCCCCCTGCCCTGACCCCCCCCCCGATGCCGTCCGCAGGGCGCTGAACGTGACGCTGGTGCTGCAGCGCGATGCCGGGCGCCCGCTGCGCGTGGGGCTGGCGGTGCCGCTGCGGGGCACGGTGGCGGAGCTGCGCGCCATGGTGGCACGGGAGGGGGACGTGCCCCCCGAGCAGGTACCGGGGCTTGGTGGCAACGGGGGGCACCCCAAATCCCCTCCCCCAGGCCCCCACCGCCGTGGTGTCCCACAGGTGATCCTGGCGGAGGTGTCCCCGCGGGGCTCCCTGCGCTCGCTGGGTGACAACGAGGAGCTGGGCACGGCCGGGGAGGGGGCGGCCCTGTACGCGCTGCAGGAGCCCCCTGCGCCCCCCGCAGGTACCGGGGCGCTGCTGGGATTGGTGGGAGATAACAGCCCTGGGCGCTGATTGGTGGGAGATAAGAGCCCTGTGCTGGGATTGGTGGGAGATAACGGCCCCTGGGCGCTGATTGGTGGGAGATAACAGCCCCTGGGCTCTGATTGGTGGGAGATAACAGCCCCTGGGTGCTGATTGGTGGGAGATAACAGCCCCTGGGCGCTGATTGGTGGGAGATAAGAGCCCTGTGCTGGGATTGGTGGGAGATAACAGCCCCTGTGCTCTGATTGGTGGGAGATAACAGTCCTTGTGCTGGGATTGGTGGGAGAAAAGAGCCCCATGCTCTGATTGGTGGGAGATACCAGCCCCCTCCACCCCAATTTCATGATTGGTGGCAGCAGGTGCCTGCCCTGCTCTGATTGGTGGCAGCCTCCTTCCCTCCTCCCAGTGATTGGCGGGAGCCGTGTCCCTCGCGCTGTGATTGGTGGGGACAGGTGTGTGCCGTGCCATGATTGGTGGCGGGCAGGTGTCTGCCCTGCGGTGATTGGTGGAAACTTCACCCCCTATTATAATTGGTGGGAGACGGGGATCCCCTCTGCTGCGATTGGTGGGAGGTGCGTGCGCTGCGCTGTGATTGGGCTGCGCTGTGCCCCTGGGGTTTTAACTGTGCCCCTGTCCCCATGTCCCCCCCCAATGTCCCCCCCCCAATGTCCCCATCCCGCAGGCCGCCCCCCGGCCCCCCCCATGCTCCTGCTGTTGCTGTGCCACACCGCGGGCAGCGGCCCCCAACAGGCCAGGTACCGGCCCCACGCCCCCCCCCGCTGCCCCCCCAGTGCCCCCCACCCCTGGGGGGCGCCCCCGGCCCCGTCCCAGCCCCGTCCCCTCCGTCCCCAGGTTCGGGCCCCCCCTGGTGCTGTGGCAGGAGCGGGGCGCGGCGTGGGCGCAGCTGCAGCGCCGCCTCCTGGCCCCGCTGCGGCCCCTGATGAGGAGCGGGGCGCAGGTGAGACCCCCCCCGGCTGCCCCCACCCAGGGGTCCCCCCGCAGCTGTCCCCTGGGGGGCTGGGAGGGGGCAGCCCCCACGGGTGGGGCCCCGTCCCCGTGGGTGTCCCCATCGTGGGGGTGGGAGCAGGGTCGAAGCCCCCTGGGGACCCCGAATTAAATTCCCGCTGCCAGCCTGGGATGGGCGCTTGGCTGGGGGTGGCCCCGCTCCTGGGGTGGCCGAGCCCCCCCCAAAGCCCCCCCAGCCCCCCCTGAACCCCGCTGTGCCACGCAGGGCTCAGGGACCCTGTTCCGGCTCCGCGTGGCCGGGGACGCAGCGCCCGGCACCTACCTGTCCCCGCAGGACGCGCGGCCCCTCTGCCACCCCGCCATCGACAGGTGAGGGGGGGGGACGCGGCTGTCCCCACGGGGAGGGGGGGTGGCCCCGCCGGGAGGGAAACTGAGGCACGGAGCGGGGCCGGGGGCTCACGGGGCTGACGCTGCCCCGCAGGGCGCTGCGGCTGAGCGGCGCGGGCGGCCCCCCCCACGTGCAGCTGACGGCCGAGTGGGACGTGGCCACCAAGGAGCGGTGAGTCCCGCGTGGGGACCGGGGGCAGCGTGGGGTGCCCTGCCCTGAGCCCCCCCCCCCGCCCCTCAGCCTCTTCGGCAGCCTCCAGGAGGAGGCCGTGCAGGACGCCGAGAGCGTGCGGCTGCAGCAGCAGGCACACCAGCAGCACAGCTGCACGCTGGACGAGTGCTTCCAGCTCTACACCAAGGAGGAGCAGGTAGGGGGCACCCCGAAAACTGCCCCGGAGCACCACGGTGCCGGGGGGAGGCTGCTGGGGCTGCCCCGGGCTCGTTTCGGGGTGCCCACGGCGCGCGGTGTCCCCAGCTGGCCCCGGACGACGCGTGGTGCTGCCCGCACTGCCGAGTGCCGCAGCAGGGCACGGTGAAGCTGAGCCTCTGGACGCTGCCCGACATCCTCATCATCCACCTCAAGCGGTTCCGGCAGGTGGCCGAGCACCGGCACAAGCTCACCACCCTGGTGCGCTTCCCCCTGCGGGGGCTGGACATGGCCCCACACCTGGCCCCGGGGGGGGGCCGCTGGGCGCCTCGACGCCTGCCCGAGAGCCGCCCCCGCGACTCCCTGTACGACCTGTACGCCGTCTGCAACCACCACGGCAGCATGCAGGGCGGACACTACACCGGTGAGTGCGGGGTGGGACGGGGACGGCAGCGGGGTGTGCTTGGGGGCACCCCAGGGGATGGGCAGTGGGGCTTGGGGCACGCTGCAGGGGCTGTGCTTTGGGGTACGGCCTGGGTTTTGGGTACACAGCAAGGAGATGGGGCATGGGGTTGGGGTGTGCTGGAGGGGGATGTGCCGTGGGGCAGGACGTGGGGTTTGGAGGGCACCGCAGGGGTGTGCAACGAGGCGTGGCTGGCACCTCCGGGGCACGTGGGATGGGGTTTGTGTGGCACGGGGTTGGGGGGCACCGCAGGGGATTTGCTGTGGGGCAGGACACTGGGTGGGGGGCGTGCACAATGGGCAGGGAGCACGGGCTGGGGGCGTGGGGCTGTGTCCCACAGCAGCGCCTGCAGGGATCGGGCCGCCCTCGCTGCCAGCACCACCCCGCAGCGCCATGGGGCTCCCAGGCCCCGCTGCACCGGGTGAGGGGCGGCCTGGGGGGTCCCTGCCCCCCCCTCGTGCCCTCCCTCACCCCTGCCCCAGCCTACTGCTGCAACTCCCTGGACGGGCGGTGGTACAGCTACGACGACAGCACGGTGGAGGCGGTGCAGGAGGACGAGGTGAGCACCCGCAGCGCCTACATCCTCTTCTACCAGCGCCGCGACGCCATCCCCGCCTGGTCGGCCAGCAGCGCCGCCAGAGGTGAGCGGAACCGTCCCAGCCCTGGCACCTCGCGGCCACCTGCACGCTGCAGGGATGCCACCTGCACGCTGCCACCCGCCTGATGCTGCCCGGGAACCCCTGGGGCATGCACGTGGGCACGGCCCAGTGCCACGGAGTGGGCACAGCACAGCCAGACACGTGTGTGCCACAGCACGGTGCGCACAGGCAATGCTTGCACCCGGGGCCGTGTCCCCACGTGCACACCACAGCCGCTGTGCACGCCTGCATGCAGCTGGGTCCTGCACACCCTGCACACGTGCTCGAAGCTGCAGCTGCGCAGCGCAGACAGCTCGGTGTGGTCACACTTAGCCCACAGGTGTGCACACCCACACAGCTCCTTGCAGCTCCCCCATTGCTGCAGCCCCCCAACCAGCCCCCCGCCCTGCTCCCAGGGGTGCTGAGCCCTCCCGGGGCCGTGGGTGGGACCGGTGCTGGTGCCGGCACCGCGCAGCCCTCGCACAGAGCCCGGCCCCGGCCCCGCTCGCAGCCCCCCGCTCCCCACAGGCTCCACCAGCTCACCCCTGTCCGATCACTGGGTGGCCCGGCTGGGCGGCAGCAAGCGGGACAGCGCCGTGTCACAGCCCCCTGCCCCCCGTCCCTCCCCGCCCAGCACCCCGGACACCAGCACTGCCCAGGAGAAAGGTGAGCAGCACCCCCAGAACCCACAGCACCCCCAGCACCCCATGGTGCTCCTTTCCTCCTGCTCCTTTCCTTGCAGGTGGCTTCGAGGCGAGGCCCTCGGTGCGCGGCATCCAGAGCCGCAGCCTCAGCATGAAGCTGCCCCCCGCCCGCCGCGACGGCCCCCCCAGGCCCGTGCCCCTGCGCTGGTCCTTCACCTCCCGGCCGTGGGCACCGGGGCAGCTGGTGGTGCACCTGGAGCCGGGGCACCGGCCCCGCCGCCCCCACCGTGCTGTCCTCCCAGCAGGGGCGGGTGAGGATGGCAGCCCCCACGCTGCCCCCCAGGCCCAGAGCCCCTCGCTGGGTGAGGCAGCCGGACCCCCAAAAAATCCGAGCTGCCCCTCTGCACCCCAACGCTGCGCCGAGCCCGGAGTGCAGGTGCCGAGGTGGCCCCGCGCCTGCACCCCAAAAGCAAGATCCCCCCCGGGAGCGGGGAGCTGGAGCAGAGACCCCCCCGGGGGCGGCAAGAGGGCAAAGCTGGGGGGGCTGCGCTCTGCAGCAGCCCGGGGAGCCCCGAGCCGCCCATCAGGCGCTCGCAGAGCTCGGCCAGCCTCCCCCCGCGCCCCCTCCGCCTGCTGCGGCGCTCGGCCTCGCTGGGCAGGGGCGCGGGGGGCCCCCCACAGCCCCCACCCGGCCCCCCGGGTGTGCGGGGTGCAGTGCTGCGGGGCCGGGAGCGCACGGCATCGCTGCGCCATGCGGCTGTGCCCGAGTCCAGCTTCTGAGCAGGGCCCCTGGGGCTGGTGTGAGGCTGAAATGGGAGCGTCCGGCACTGGGGGCATTGGGCAGGGGGGTGCCCGGAATTGGGGCATTTCTGCACCATGAACATCCAGCTCCCGGCTGCACGGTGCCGGGGGCATCATGCAGGTACCTGGAGGCGGCGCATCCCTGCACCGTGAGCACCCCAAACCTGGGTGCGTGGTGCTGGGGGCATCATGCAGGGGGGTGCCTGGAATGGGGGGGGTAACCCTGCACACCTGGCACCCCAGGAAGATCCCGCAGCAGGGCACCCTGCACCCCGCTGCACCGGGGGCATCCTGTGCCCCAGCGCCTTCCCAAGCCATGCCTTACCTGGGAGCGAGCACCAGGCAGCAGGCGTGGGGGCCGTGGGACATCAGGAGAGGAGAGGATTTATTCTGTACGGAGAGTTTTATGCAGAGATGGTTTTTGTTTTGTACGAGGCGACTCCTCGGCAGGGTGGCCGGCAGCGGGGCGCCGCTCCCGCTCTCAGGGCTATGCAAAACGCGATTCCTCCACCCAGCTTTTGTACGCGGGGGCTGCTGGCGGCGGCGCTCTGAGCTCTTTTATTAAAGACACGTGAAAGGAGCTGGTGCCGTGTGGTGTGTGTGTGTGTGTGTGTGAGTGTGGTGCCCACCCAGGTGAGACCTGAAGCCCCCCTACAAGCTCCTGGAGTGGGTCCGGGGGGTTTGGAGGTGGCCGTGGGCCACCCGTGGGCACAAGGGGCTGGGGTGCAGCACGGCAGGCAGGCAGAGCCCCCCTCCAGCACCCACATGGCAAGGAGTGGCTGTAATGGGGTTTTCCTTCACCCCAAGGGCACAACCCCACTGCTTTATCCCCACCCCGACCCCCCAAAGCCCACTTCCACAGCACGGCCCCACAACCACCACCACAACCAGCTGCGAAGCCACCGCAGGTGTCGAATAAACCCAGGCTCGGGGCGAGTTCAACAGCAATTTGCACATTTATTTCGGGTGCTCCCACCCTCCCCTCGCCCAGCCCCCCCAAGGGGTGACGGTCACATTGCGGCGGGGCCGAGGGCAGCCCGGGGGGGCTGGGCTGTGCAGCGCGGGGAGCGGAGCGGGGCCGGGGGGGCCGGGAAGGCGAAGCATTTCCATGTACATTGGCCCTTGTACGCCAGGTCAGGTGGAACGGCTCCGAATAAAACAAATCTCTCTATATATATTTCTCTATGTACAAATATATAATATATATATATCTATGCCCACCAGATATATATATATACCATCTCTCTGAAAAGGATAAAAGGTTACTTTGTCTCTGCATGCACAACCAAAGCCTCTGCTCCACGCCACCAACCCACGACGACAGCGAGCGGGGGCTGCAGGCGGGGCACGGGGACGCGTCCCCCCCCCAGCACTCGCCTTATTGCTGCTGGGCCGGCCTCCCCCAGCCCCGCTCGGCCACAGCGAGCGCACGGCGGGGCCGATGCAAAGGGACGAGACCCCGGAGCAACGCCACCCGTGTGGTGCCCCCCGTGCCCTGTTTTGGGGGGAGGACGGGGCCGCTGGCACCTCTCCAGCCCCGGTGGCACCGCGGGGACGCCGGATGCGCCCCGGGACGTGGGCGCCTGCCGGGGGGGACATAGGCACCGAGTCACAAGGCAAAGTCTGGATAAGGCGACCCCAACCCAACCCAACCCAACCAAGGAGCAACCAAGTCCCCCGAGCGCCGGCCGGGTGCCGCGGGGACGGGCGGGGAGGGGACGCTGTCATAGGGCCGTGCTCTCCGAGTCCTCCTCCTCCTCCGGGGGGGCTTTCACCGACAGTCTCTGCGCGGCGTCCGGCGGGTCCCGGCGCAGGGCAGCATCGACGCCGAGGTGGATGGACGGGATCTCGAAATGGACCAGACCTGCGGCGGGCACAGACGGGCGGTGTGAGGGGCTGCCAGGGGGGCACGGGCGGGTGCTGGCACACAGGCGTGCTCCGACGGGCGGGCAGCGCTTGGTGCCACCGCCGGGGCGGCACACGGGGCCCCCAGCCTGGCCAGCTGCCTGTCCCCACTCCTGGAGGGACGTTGGGGTCCCTCAGCAGGCGGCAGGAACACACCCAGGGGAGCGGAGGAAAGTCCTGGGCCCTGCTCCTGCAGCTGCCGGCTCGGGGACCCTGCCACAGGCGGCAGCACCCAGGGGAGCAGTGCCAGAGCGCAGGGACAGCTGGGCGCAGCGCTGGGGGCACCAGGGGTGGGTGCTCTGGTGCTGGGGGGCACCAGGTATGGGTGCTGTGTTGGGGGGCACCACACCTGGCTGCAGACCCACTGCAACGCCTGGGGTACCACGCTGGGGTGCGTTGTGGGGGCTGCACCGAGCCCCGGGCACAGCACTGGGGCGCAGCAGGGGGACGCAGCTCGCCTGGGGACAGCCCGACCCCATTGCTGCATGGTCCCCCACTGTCCCATCCCCTCCGTGCCACTGGGCACATCAAGGTGCTGCGTGTGGGGACACCCGGCTGCCAGCCACGCTGCACCCCGCAGGACATGCAGTGCCCCTGGGGCACCGAGCTGTGCCAGCACCACGTCCCCAGGCTGTCCCCACTTCCAAAGTGTCCCCTGTGATTCCCAGGATGGGGAAATGCCATCCTGCCACCATGTCCTGCCACCCCTCGGGAGCCGAGCTGGGGACACCATTGGGTGCCCGCTGCCACTTCGCTTCTCCAGGGCCGCCGGGCAGGAGGGAGCCAGCAGCACGAGGAAGCCAGAGCCAGGTGACAAAAGTGTCCTTGCTGGCAGGATGGGGCTGGGGGCGCGCTCTCACCTGCCCCATGCACCCACGGGTGGCAGTGGGGAGGGGGTGGCCCTTGGGGACAGCAGTGGTGGGGGACGGGGACAAAGAAACAGCGACAAGGTCAGGACACAGAGGACACAGCAGCAGAGCTTTGGGGCACTGCCCAGGGACACTGCCACCCTCCTGGGGACACAGCCATCTTCTTAGGGACACTGCCACCTTCCACGGGGCATTGCCACCTTCCTGGGGACACTGCCACTTTCATGAGGACACTGATCTTTCTGGGAACACTGCCACCTTCCCAGTGATGTCACAACCTTCCTGAGGGCAATGCCACCTTCCCAGGGACACCGCCACCTTTGTGAGGATATTGTCATCTTCCTGGGAACGCTGCCACCTTCCCAGGGACCCTGCCACCTTCCTGAGGACACTGCTACCATCCGAGAGACACTGGCACCTTCCTGAGGACCTTGTCACCTCCCCAGGGACCTTTCCACCTGCCTGATGACAGTCATCTTCCTGGGAACACTACCACCTTCACAAAGATGTTACCACCTTCTTGAGGACACTGCCACCTTCCCAAGGACACTTCCACCATCCTGAGGACACTGCCACCTTCCTGGGGACACTGCCACCTTCCCAAGGACACCACCACCTTCCCGAGGACATTACCACCTTCCTGAGGACACCGCCACCAAACCCCAGGCCACGAGCAGCCGTCCTGGTCCCTCTGCTCCACAGACGCAGCCGTGCCACCAGACCACAGCCCCGGCTGCCCACGGGGTCCCAGCAGGGTCCCCAGGTGGGGTCCGTGCCCTGGACGGCTCCGAGCACCCCGGCGCAGCCCCGGCGCGTCCTCAGCGTCCCGCAGCGACTGGGTTACCTGTGGGCACGCTCTCCCCGGGGGCCACGGCGTCGAGCAGGGGGGGCTCCGCGGGCTGGGGGCTAGAGCCGGACGCGCTGGCCGTGGGGGGCTGCGGCGGCGGCAGCGAGGGCCTCTGCCTCGGCTTGGGGACGGGTCGAGATTTGGTTACAGAGCCACCCAGGGGAGGAAGAGGAGGAGGAGGAGGAGACGGGGAAGGTGCTGCGGCTGGGGACAGCTGACCTGAGGCCAGGCAGTAGCCTTGAGGGTAAGCGAGTCCATAGGGTGCGGGGGTGCTCGGTGGGGTGGGGGACAGGCTGGCGGGGGACGGCTGGCCCGCCGGCGGCTCCGACGTGCCCCCCGAGGGCGCCTTGGGCGGGATGGGCGCCAGCTTCTTGGAGGCTGCGGGAGAGACGGACAAGGCGGACAGACAGACGGGCCGACGGACGGACGGCGGTCAGCAGGGGCGAGGGGCGCGGGGAGGCGGGCGCGCCGCCGGGCACCCACCTTTGCGCAGGCTGCGGGGGCTCTGCTCAGGCGGGGGACGGTGGCGCGGCCGCTGCCTGCTGCCCACTGCCCTTCTGCGGCCCAGGAGACGGGGGAGAGCTCCTTGGGTTTTAAAGTGCTGGGGGGGAAGGGGGAAAAAAAAAAACAGCAGTGAGGTCCTGTCCGCCCCGGCACCCAGCGCCCTGGCACCCAGCACATCCCGGTGCGAGGCGGTGCCCAAAGGTGCCCAGCGCTGGGCTGGGGGGTGTTAAAATCTGACTTTGCTTTAATTGCAGCTTTTTAAAGCGATTTCTCGGCGCAGAAGCCATGCTGCAGGCAAGTCCCCACACGGCTCGCAGCCGTTCCCGGGGAATGGCTGGTGACACCGAGGCCACCACCCATGGGGGGGCACCCAGGGGTGTGGGGGGCAGTTACCTGGCCAGGCTGGCTCCCACCGGCGTGCGGCCGCCCCCGGGGGCAGAGGGCAGCGTTCGGGGCCGGGGGGGGGGCAGGAGCAGGGGGGCAGCGATGGGGAGCGGGCAGTGCCACTGGGCCAGGGAGCGCTGCGGGGGCACCGGCAGGGAGCAGGGCTTGGGGCGAGCGTGGGGGGCGAGCAGAGGGCGAGGGGAGGAAGAGGAGCAGCGGGGGGGAGGAAGGCTGCGGCTGCAGCCCGGCCAGAGGCAGCAGGGGTGCGGGGCTGAGCCCCAGGACGGGCTGTGCCCAGGGCAGGGGACGGGGCTGGGCACCGGGGGCCGGGGGACCCCACTTGTCCTCGGGGCGGGGGGGGCTGTAGCAGCAATCCGACCAGGCAGGCGGCGCATCACCCGTGCTGCAAAATGTCCAAAAACAGCCACAGAACAGCAAAACGATAGAACGAGGAAATAAAAGACACGAGCAGAGGCATCAGCAGGGGAGGAAGCGAAAGCAGCAGTGAAACAGCGGCGGAGTGGGAGCGGGCACGGCCCCACTGAGCTGCTCGGGGTGCTGCAGGAGAGGCCGACACCGAAATGAGGGGGGATTTGGGGAACAGCCCCTTCCCCGTGGCTGGAGAGGCAAAATCCAGGCTCTGCATGGTCCCAGCCATGGAGCCATCTCTCAAGGAGCCCTTGGCACGTCCCCATGGTTTGCGGTGCCATTGGCAGCACAGCTCGGCTGGCACCGCTCCTCCAGCCAGGGGAGGAGGAGGAGGAGGAGGAGAAGGGGGTGAAGGCAGCTCCAGCACGGGGGACACGGTGCCTTGGGAGCCAAGCACAGAGCAGAAGCAGGCTGGGCACAAACAGCACCAAAATACAGCAGCAGCAGGACAGTGGGGACCCGCCGGGCACCCGCCGTGCTGGGCGCAGCAGCAGGGGACCCCCACAGCCCCCCCGGGACAGGGCTGGGACGGCTCCGAGCCCAGCCCCAGGACCCGGCCCCTGGGCAGGATGAGCCCAGGGAGTGCTTCAGGGAGGGTCCCACCTCCATGAGAACCCCACAGCACCCGTGGGTGCTTGGCCAGCCCTTTGCCACACAGCTCATGGCTGGGGGAAAACAGCCCTGTGGGGCAGTGGGAGAGGGAGGCTCCCTGTTTTGGGGCAGGAAGGTGTAATTTAGATATTTTCCTCTACTTGGTCCATGCGGGATGAAGCAGACACAGACCTTGGGCTCCTTTAGGCTTTCGCTTTGGCCACTGTAAGCCCAGCAGCTCCTTCCTTTGGGTTATCACCCAAATTCCAGCCCAGGATAACCACGGTGAGCCCAGCTCGTTGCGGATCCCCACGGGGGCACCACGGGGACGAGGAGCATCCTCTCCTCCCGCTCCCAGGGGGTGGCCGTGCCTGGGGGAGGAATCACCATGGGGACAGGGGGCCGGGGGTGTCCTTACCTTGCCCGCTCGGCTGCGGGTGGGAAGCCGAAGCTGGTGGGAGGAGGAGAGGGGGTCGCCGAAATATCGGGCGCTTGCTCGGGGATGGGCGAGTGCGGCGTGGCGGGCAGCTCGGCAGGCGGCGCGGGGGGCTGCGTGGCCGGGGGGGTGGCGGACGCCTTGCGCCCCCCCGAGGTGCCTCTGCGGGCCACCCACGAGGTGTCCATCACCCTGACGCCCATGCTGGGGGGACAGAGACGGGTCCTCAGCACCCGCACTGGTGGGACGGGACCGTGCTAGGGCCCCTTTGGGGCGCCCCCACCCCTGCACAGCCGCCCCATGCCCAGCTGGTGGCCAGGGCTCGGGGCCGGCTGCTGCAGCGGGGTCTGGGCCCCACAAACGCCTCTTCCACAGGGAAGCTGCTGGGAATGGACCTCCACGGCAACGGGGCAGCGGTGGCTTTGCAGGACAAGCCTTGTGTCACCGGCCACGTCGCCCCTTGCCCCGATACCAGCAGGCACCAGCATCCTCCCAGCACCCTCCCAGTCCTGCCGCGGAGGACACCGTACCTTTGGATTTTCCTAAGGCTGCGTGGACAGAAACACACGGTTATTAGTGGAAAAGAAGCTAAAATGAGCCACACGGTGCAGTGCCTGCTGCTTGGAAAGGGAGCTGCGAGGCCGAGGGGCTTGGAGCAGTGGGCGCAGGAGGGACATGGGGGGGGACCAGGTCGTGCTGGGGCTGGGGAAGCCCAGGGGATGGGGCTGGGACCTGGCTGTGGGTCCCACAGCACTGAGCAGAGCACAGGAGGTGACACGGGGAGGGGGGTGCAGCCCCAGCCCCATGGCATTGGGCCCGCCTGCACCCATCTCCAGCGGGGCTTGGGGCTGGTGAGAAGCTCGGGCCTCATCCAAGGCACCCCCAGCTCTCATCCAGCATGGACAGTAGGGTCCTCCCGTCCTGGGACCACCCGACCTCCACCAGTCTGCACCCTTGCTGTGACTCCCTGTGTCCCCAGCCCTACCCATCCTTCTTGTAAAACTCCAGCATCATGTTGTCCGTGGCCACGCTGAGCGGCCGCCGCGCCTGGTCGTGCTGCTTGCGGTCGGCGTGGTCCATGTCCGGGGAGGGCATGGAGCTGTAGTTGGCGTTGTGGTTCACGTGCATGGGGCTGCCGTAGTTCCCCGTGACAGTTGAACTCGATGTCTGGGTGGCAAAGCGGGACGGGGACATCACAGCTCTGTCCCCCCAGGGCCAGGAGGGGCAGCTGGTCCCTGTGATGCCCATCCCGTCCCATCCCATCCCATCCCATCCCATCCCATCCCATCCCATCCCGTCCCATCCCGTCCTGTCCCGTCCCATCCCATCCCATCCCATCCCATCCCATCCCATCCCGTCCCATCCCGTCCTGTCCCGTCCCATCCCATCCCATCCCATCCCATCCCATCCCGGGGCTCAGCCCACCTCCAGGGAAGAACCAGTCTGCGTGCTGGATGAGCGGCTCGATGATGCCCACGATCTGCAGGGAGACGGTCGTCATCATCTCGGTGATGTTCCTGCAACACAGCGGGCAGCGGCTCGGCGGCTGCCACCCCGCCACGGCCCGACCCCGCTCCCTGATGGGTTTTATCCACCCCTCGCCCCTCCAGCAGCCCCTCGGGTCTCTCTCCCCTGCTCTGCAGCCCCTCCATGGGGAGCGGGTGCTGCCCTCATGCTGCGGGAGAAACCTTTCGTGCCCCAGGGCTGCGGCTTCAGCCCCCGTCACCCCCTCGCACGTGCCCACCGCCGTACGTTACCCTTCTGCCTGCGGCCAGAGGAGGTTGGGGCCCAGCACGATGGCCACGTTGCTCGGCGTCATTTTGTTCATGTCCTGGTACTCAGTCAGCTTGGCCAGGAATTTAATCAGGTACCTGCAGGGGGGAGCCCAGGTGCAGGTGAGGCAGGGCGCGCCCTCCCCATGCCCGCGGCGGCTCCTCGGCCGCCCCACGCTCACCTGATGTTGTTGTAGTTGGCCTTGGGCAGCTTCTCGCAGGCGCTCCACAGGGCCTGAAGACGCTTCTCCTGCTCTGGGATGCTGCGGGAGGGGATTGGGGTGAGCACCCCGCAAGACCCCGGCCCTACCACCCCACTGCCTGCGGCACAGGCAATGCACTGAGGGGACTGGGGTGCTCGCTCCGAGCTCGTTCCTTTAGCAGCCCGAAACACCACACGGATGGGTTTGTGCATTTAGAGCAGGAGGTCTGAGCGCCCTCGGGCAGGGTTTGCAGACCCAGCCAGGAACGGGAGCAGAGCCCAGCTGGGAGGTGCTGGGAGAGCTGAGCCACCTCGGGCAGGGTGCTGTGCACCCCGGGGGACATCAGGGTTTGGTGACATCAAGGCCACTGGGTCATGCAATCCCCAAGGAGCATCACAGAGCCCTCAGACCCTGCAGGAAACACCCCACTTGCTGGCAGCTGGTCAGAAACAACTCAAGAAGGTGCCCACACTGTGCTGGGCGTGTGGGAGCATCGGACCTGGAGCCTGGGAGCTCCTGCACTGCTGCCCTCCGTGCTGCTGGCCTTCCGTGGGCCTTCAGCCTTCGTGCTCGGCCTCCTCACCCTCAGGGAACTGCCACGGGGCTACAATTTGCTTGTTTAGCCCCTCCTGAAACTCATTTGAAGCTGCTTTGTGGAAGACCCCCGGGCAGACCTCAGCAGATGCCAGCACCGGACCAGGGCTGGGGCAGAGGCGAGGCCAAGTATGGGGCTGGGGCTCTGGGGGGACACCCGCGGGGACAGCCCCAGCCCCAAGGCCACCTCCCGACCCGGACTCACTTGGAGGCCTGGATCCACTCCTCGTACAGCTCAAACGTCATCAGCGGCTCCGGCAGCTCGCGCAGGTAGGACTTGAGTGCTCCTGAAGCACACAGCGGGCACGGGGCTCACCACGGCTCACCGGGGCCACCTGCACCCCCCTGCTGGCAGCACTGCCCGGCGTGTGCCACCTCCCCAGACCCCTTCGGTTCACTGGAGCCTCCTCGAACCCCAGCAGCTGCTGAACTTCCACCCCTTGCAGCTCCTCCCTCTCCCTTTCACCTCCAGCAGCCCCCCTGCCTCTCCTTTTTGCCCAGCACCATGCCCCAAGCCCCCCCCCTCAGCACATCTCTGAAGCTCGGTCGGTGGCTTCCCAACAGGGCACCAGCGCCCACACCCTGCAGCCAGCAGGAGCCAAGACAGGAGGGGAAAAGCTGACTCGCCTTTAAACCAAATTAATGCTCAATGACAGCCCAGCAGGCCGGGCTCTGCGTGCAGAGGGCATCTTGCATCACTGCAGAAGCAGCAGAGAGATGATGGAGAACTCAATTAGGGGGGGTGTGTGTGCAGCTCCCTGCCTGCTCTTGGCTCCTCTGGAGAATCTCAGGCTCAGCATAACTGTGGGGATCATCCCTCGGCAGGGGCAGAGGGGAGGTGCATGCACTCGGTGTCCAATTCAGGCTCAAAGCAAGCCTGAAACCAGCTCTTTGATGTGCTCAGCGCAGCACAAGCACCTTGCTGGCCCCTACCCTTGGCAGCATCCCCCCCGTGCCCCAACGCAGGGCTTCCACATCACCCAACACAGGCAAGCCCCCGACCAGCAGAAGATCAGGACCAGGACACCCCAAAGCCACCAAACCGCGGGCGGTCCCCACCTGCGATGGCGTGCGGGTCGGCCGAGTACTCCTGCACGTCCACCACGCAGCAATCCAGGGCGGCCTTCAGCTTCTTCAGCTTGGAGGCAGAGGGAGCCACGCGGAACAGACCCTTGGCAGAGGACACAGGGAGTGTCGGCACCGGGGCACGGCCCCGAAACCTCCCCGGCCACTTGTCCCCATGCCACCAGAGGTGGCCAGGACGCTGCCCCCCAGCACCCACCTCCTCCTGCATGCCGCACTCCAGCAGCATGGTCACGCAGGCCTCCACGGGGAAGGCGATCTCCCGCCCGCTGACGGCCAGGTGCTCCTCCAGCGGCTTCCCAAAGGACGGCTTCTCCATCCACGCTTCTGCAATGGGCAGAGGGGTGATGGGGGACAGCGTGGGGGGCACCCCGTGTTCTCCTCACCCCCCCGGAGGAGAAGCTCGGGGATGGCAGCGGGTGTTTGGGTGTTGATGCAACACCACGACCCTGCATTTCTGTCCTGGGACACCCAGAAGTGGGTTTTAAAGGTGAAATCCAAGCAAAACATTTCCCAGCCATCACATTTCAAGGGGGCTGAATGATGCTTTCCGGGGGAGCAACGTCTCGCAAACATTTGCAGGCTTCTCCCCCTTCTTTTACCACAGTTTGAGGACTCACTCCCTGCCCAACCGCAGCAGCACCTGGAGCACAGGGCGGCTGCTGGGCTGCCAGCACAGTGGCCTCAGGGGACGGGGACACTTCCCCAGCTCAGGGACAGGTGGGATGCAAAGAGGGGGAGCAGATGGGGGGTGCCCAGCTGCAAGCCAGGCACCACGCCACACGGTGACACCGCAGCCTGTCTGCAAAGCCACATATGGCACCCGGCATGACGCTGGGTGATGGGCTCCATGTCCCCAGTGTCACCCGCCTCGGGAGCAGGACGAGCCCCACGTGCACTCACCCTGCTGGGCTTTTATCTGCGGCAGCACGTTCTGCAGAAGCGCCAGCGACTTCCTGTGGTACTCGGCCTGCACCTCGATCAGCTGGGGAGAGAGGGCACCGAGTGCGCGCGGTGCCACCGGCGCAGCGGGGACGGGCACGGGGCAGCTGCAGCACGGGGACAAGGGGAGCGGCCGGCTCGCAGCGCTTACCGTCTGGAAGTAGTTTGCATAGTCGATTTCTTTGGCCACGAAGCTGTACATGTCAGCCGAGAGCTGGTCCTGTGGGGAGCACGGAGTTAGGAGCACGCCCGGTGCTGTGGCCACCGCGACGGACAACGCTGCCCACCAGCCTTCCTCCCTGCCTCAGCCTCAGCGCTGAGCCCAGCTCAGCACGCTGCAGCGCCTGCTCGGGATGTGCCCGGGACCCCAGACGCCCAGCAGCACAGCGGGGCTTTGCTTTCTGCTGCGTTACAAACTTCTCCACTCTCCCACAGCCTTGCAAAAACCCCAGTTTGCCGTTTCGGGCTTCTCAGAACGATTTATATGGAAACCTCCCGGGCTGAACAGCACGGATCTGGCACAAATCGCACAAAAGTTCGCTCTTCGCTCGCTGCATCGCTTCTCCCGTGCGAGCAGCTCCTCAGCTGCGTGTTTCTGCAGAGCAGAGCAGCACAGCTCGTGTGCCGCGGGCACTGCATCAGTGTGCACGTGGAGGTGTCCCCAAGCCGTGCTGTCCCTCCCGCTGTGCCCTGACGTCCCCACACCCCCACGTGTCCCGGGGTGGCCCCAGGCTGAGCCCCTTTGAGCAGTACCCTGCAAATCTCCACTCGGTTTGCTGCCTCCTCCATCTCCTCCCTGAGAGCATCAGCTTTGGCGCCCGACGGCTGCAGGTTGCTCGACAAACTCGATGACTTTGCGGACTGCTGCCACCTGCGGACAGCAGGCAGGGTGTCAGGAGGGGCAGGGACCACGCAGAGCCGCTGGGCAGCCCAGGGACCCCCTGCCAGCCCCGCTACAGCCCCCAGGGCTGAGCACCACGGAAAGGGGCCCAGCCCGTGCTGGGATGCAGGAGCCGCCCCCAACCCAAACGCTCCCTAGCTCCAATTTAGCAATTATTATTTTTCAAACGCTTGCAGACTGCCTCGGGCACAGCCCCAAGCGGGCTGTTCGAGTCACCTGGGACACGGGGTGACGCCAAGGGACATCCCACGTCCCCAGCTGGGCTCTGCCAGCCGAGCGCTGCTCTACAGCAGCAGGAGCAGCTGGCTCTTTGCCACCATGTACGAATTCAGCAAGATTGGGAGAACAGGAAAAAATAAAGATTTGGGCCAGAAAAAAATACATTTTTTCTTCCCTGCAGTGTGCATGCAAAGAAAAGGGATTTTGCAGAGAAAAGCAGAGCTATGGGATCACTGCAGAGCTTGACTTAGAGGCACGGTGACACGGTCGGGCTGTGCCTTCCCACGGCTGCTGGCCGTGCAGTTGCATCACCCCAGCCACCCAGGACCTGGGGATTTACAGAGCCAGGGGCAGCCCTGAAGTCCCTCACCAGGAGCGAAGCCTGCCCAGCACAGGCAGCCCGGCTGCAGTTCCCACCTCGTCCTCGAGGAGTCCATGTCCAGCACCAGCTTTGCTAAATGCTTCCTCTGTTTTTGGATATTTGGGATTTCCACCTGCAGCAACACAGGGGCACGGGAGGAGAGAAACACCTCGCTTAAATCACCGCAGCATTAGGAAGGCAGCGCAGCCCAGCCCTCCTCTGCTTCCCACCCGTGATGCTCACAGCCCCTCAACACCAACACGCAAGTGTGAAAACCCCATCCCTGAAAGAGGCACCCTTCGGTCAGTAAGTCCTCCTGCACCTGGGTACCTGGCTTAAGGAAGAAAAACTCTTCCTGGGATGTGCCAGCCATAGCAGCAAAGCCTGCCACGCACAGACAGCGTCTGCCAAGGGCTCTGCAGCGGCTGAAAGTCCCAAAGCTGCAGCCCGGCCCTGCTCTCCTGTCCTATCACCAGCAAGTCAATAAAGCTCTTCGTATTTCAGCCGGGGGCGATAAAATCAGAATGGAGCCCATGACATTTTGGAAGACATAAAAGGGAAAGAAAAAAAAAAAAAAAGAAGAAGAAGCATTTGGCAAAATTAAAAAAACAGAAAGTTGGCAGCAGGAGGGAAAAGGAGGAAAAAAAAAAAATCCCAGACAACAACCTCCCTTGTTTGGAGCTTGGAAACGTGTTTCAGAAATAAAAGCGTTCAAGCCTCTGCCTTGAAGAAAGACAGAAAAGAGCAACAGCCAAGCGGGACGGAGGCTGAGCAGGGCAGGGAGCTGCCCCACGGCCGGGCTGGGGGCCGTGCAGACACCGGCTGTGCTGAGAGCAGGAGCCAGCACCCAGCACCCCTGGTGACCCCCAGACGCCACCGCCCGCTGTGCCCGGTTGCGTTTTGCCCAGCCCCACCTCAGCCAGCACGAAGAGCGGCTCGATGACGTCCCTCTCCACCTGCAGCTCGAACTGGATCAGCTCCTGCGCCAGCTTGTCCTCCGCCTCCCCGCACAGCCTCAGCATCTTCCTGCAAGGGGATGGCGAGGCTGGGGAGGGACGGCAGCGATCCCGGCCGGAGCCATGGGGCATCCTGCTCTGGGGTCTGCGAGGCGAGGGGCAGGGATGGTGGGCACCGAGGGGACGTGGTGGCGCTGCCACCTCTTACCCCAGCAGGGAGTCGTCACCCAGCACCGCCGAGCCCTCCATCAGGCACTGCGCCAGTGTCGTCAGCGGCAGCTTCTTCTGCAAAGGGAGCGCCCCGGTGCCGTCAGGCTCCCCATGCTCGTGGGACATCACACTGTCCCCAGCCCCATGTGGCTACGGCCACCCAGCCCCACCTGCTGTCACCCAGCATGAGCTCTGCCCAGCACCTCGCTTACACGGGTGCTTTATTCACATGTATACAACCCCTCTGCCCCACACACTCCTGTGTGTGCACCCACATGCGTCCGGCTAAAGGAAAGGAGAAAACGGCTCCGCAGCCCACTCGGTACCCCCCCAGGGAGCCTGGTGAACCTCACCGAGCGCTTGTCGGCGTCCACGCCCTGCTGGCCCTGCAGACATGCCGTCAGCTTCTTGTGGGTGCTGTGGGAGACCTGCTTCACCAGCTCCAGACGCTTCTCCACCTGCGGACACAGCGGCACCCGTCACCGCCCCGTCCCTCCTCATCCTCACCCTGGTGCGGCCAAATCCCTTCGTTAATCAAAGGGATTTTAATTGCCGGTGCGTCGGGCTGGGTACAGACTCCTGGCTGTCCTCCAACACCCTGCTGTGCCAGGCAGAGGGTCAGTGGCCCTGGGGACAGGCATGGGGACAACAACGCTGCTGCGGCCAAGCGAGGGCAGGAGCTTTCTCTCCCCAGGAAAGCTTTGTTTGCACCAAACTGGCAGATACTCAACCCCGGGGCTGAAAATTGCCTGATTTGCCTCGGACTTGCTTAAACAGGGAAGTCCATCCAAAAGCTCAGCGAGATGAGTCACTAAATGTCAGCAAACAAGATCTGACGAAAAACGTAGCCGAAACTGTCAGGGAAAATGCGCAGCTAAGCATAAAGTGCAACATCTGGGAAAATAACCCGGAAAAACAAATAACCCCTGCCCTTGGGACACGGGGACATGCCGACAGGGCAGCAGGTCCTTCAGGGAGCAGAGATGGCAGGATAGGTACAGGACAGGCTGCTCTGCCTCGGTCGGGGCCCTGCACACCAGTTGTACAGATCTAAAAATCCATGTACGCCTCGAAAGATGGGGCACTCTGCGCAGGAGGAACGCAGGTGTGTGAGAAGGAGGCCCCCAAAAAGGGTCTGGGTTCCTGCTTCCCTTGAGACAACCCCTCCAAAGAAGGTGTTGCACCCACACAGAGCAGCTCGCCCCTTCTCCCCGCTGCACCTTCCTCCTCCCCAAAAGATGCGACTGCCCCACACAGCACCGAGGCCCAGGCTGCGCGGTGCCAGCAGAGACCCGAGCGTGCACGGAGAGACAGCAGGAACTAAAAATGAAGCCATGAGAAACACTGACCCGCACTGCCAGGCTGGGGAGCCCCTGTCCAGCCCCAAACCTCCCGTCCCTGTCCCCGTCTCGCACCCACTGCCCTGTGCCACTGCAGCACCCGCAGCCACCCATGGGTGTCGGGGCTGTGGCTGCCCTCTTCAGGGCAGAGGCACTTTACCTGCAGAAGATCTTCGCTCAAAACCTCCGTCTTCTCGGCCCTGCGAGAGCAGAAAGACAAAAATGAGTTGGTGAAGGGCCTGGCGCATGGCCGTGCTGGGCACGGTGGGAATTGCTCCTCCATCGGTCCGTATGGGGACCAGACTGCTCCGTATTCCTGCTGGAGACGTGGTCAGTGGGAGCGAGGGCACCCTCAGCACCTTGCCCATGACACCGAGCTGTGTGGTGTAGCGACCCTTAGGAAGGCAGGGCTGCTGTCCTGGGGGGCCTGGGCAGGCTGGGAGGTGGGCCCATGAGGCCCCCATGAGGTTCAGCAAGGCCAAGGGCAAGGTCCTGGATCTGGGTCAGGGCAATCCCAAGCACGAATCCAGGCTGGGCAGGGAATGGGCTGAGAGCAGCCCTGAGGAGAGGGACCTGGGGGTGTTGGTGGATGAGAAGCTCCACATGAGCCAGCAATGCGTGCTTGCAGCCCAGAAAGCCAACTGCACCCTGGGCTGCCCCCCAGCAGCGTGGCAGCAGGGCGAGGAGGGGATTGTCCCCCTCTGCTGTGCTCTCGTCAGGCCCCACCTGGGGCCCTGCGCTCAGCTCCAGGCCCCCAGCACAAGAAGGACGTAGAGCTGTGAGAAGGAGTCCAGAGGAGGCCAGGAGGATGCTCAGAGGCTGGAGCACCTCTCCTGTGGGGACAGGCTGAGGGAGCCGGGGCTGTTCGGCCTGGGGAAGAGAAGGCTCCGGGGGTCACCTCACAGCGGCCTGCCCGTGCCTGAAGGGGGCTGCAGGAGTGCTGGGGAGGGACTCTGTGTCAGGGGGGTGGGGCTAGGACAGGGGATAGTGGCTTTAAGCTAAAAGAGAAGAGATTTAGATTACATATGAGGAAGAAATTCTTCACTTACAGGGCGGTGAGGCCCTGGCACAGGCTGCCCCAGGAGCTGTGGGTGCCCCATCCCTGGCAGTGCCCAAGGCCAGGCTGGATGGGGCTGGGGGCAGGGGGGTAAAGGTCCCTTCCAACTAAAGCAAGCTGTGACTCCATGACTACGCACACATCAGTTTAAGGCTCTCTGGTCCATCAGCCCCGTGTGCAGCCCCTGCATGAGCCCCACCTGCTTTTTTTTTTTCCCAGTTATGGTTTCTGGTCACAAAGCTTCTCCCCACCACATCCTAGACAAGCAAAGCCTGGAGCATCGCCACCACTGCCCAGGCTGTGCTGTGCAGCCAGAGACACAGCCCTGCTGCAGGGACCTGCACATCCCCACGGGCAGCCTGACCTCTTTGCGTGGGGCTGAGCACACAGGGGTGGTGCACAGCTGGCAGGATGAGCCCAGGGGTGTGAATCCAGCTTGCCTGGTTGTGCCAAGGCACAGGATGCTGCAGGACCTCACATCCAAGCTGCAGGACATTGCAGAACCCCATGTCTGAGCTCCAGGATGCTGCACAACCCCACATCCGTGTCCCAGGATGCTGCAAAACCCCACACCCAAACTCCAGGACAACGCAGAACCTCACATCCGAGCTCCAGGACACTGCAGGAATCCACATCTGGCCCTAAACCATCCCTCCTGTGGATCACAACAGCTATCACCACGCTGGAACAGGGCACGCACTTCCTCCCCCAGGCACCCTATCATTGCCCAGACACCCCAATGGGGTCTGAGCACCCTAAAATGCACAAAGCAGAAGGAGCAGCCCCCGTGCCTGGAAGGATGAGCCCCGGTGATGTGCTGGGCTCCTCTGGGGACGATGGATATTTTGCTGCAGAAAGGCCAATTGGCACAACTTACCTGCAAGGCTGAGAGAGCCCCTGCAAGCATCCACACTGCACTGGTAGGCAAGGAGACATGGTGAAGCCATTGCACACTGTAATGTTTATTCATAATCATAGAGGGCTTTTTTTTACAACTTTAATAAACCATTTCTTCTTTAAAAAAAGTTATCTGTGTCACGATGCGCTTGGACAGAGAGTGGAATTTAGCTAAAATGTAAAGGTCAGTTGTCCTCTCAGGGTTTGTCACTGGTTAACGTGAGGCTGGAGCATGACAGCAAATTGCTCTCATCCTTTGGCCTCCTTGGAAAAAGAAAAAAAAAAACACGCAACCAAAAAAAAACAAAACAAACAAACAAAAAAATACCCACCACCTAACTTGCCCAAGCTCTGTTTGCTTTTCAAAACCTAACATGATTTTCTCAGCCCTGAGAACCCAGCTACAGAAGTGCAGAGTTGAATAAGTGGAAATGCAGAATTTGAAAGTGGAAACGAAGAATTTGAAAGTGGAAGTGAAGAGCACCGGGCGGAAAGTTCAAAAGCGGTGCCAGCGGCGCGGCCGCGGGCTTGCAGCCAGGGGCAGGACTTTGTCTGCAAGTTCATCGGCGAACACGCTGAGTTCAAAGCCTTTATGAAAATGTAAATGAACTGTGCTAAATCCAGCCTGCATAGGAAACTTGTTGTAGTGTCCAATTTAAGTCAGTTTATTTTTAAAGAGGCACAGAACCCATTGGGTTTAATTAAAAAAAAATGGATTTAAACGTGCACATTACACCTCCTTGTGTTTGGCAAGCAATCGACCTGCTCTCCACCTGCCAGGTTATGGCCCCAGGGGCTCTGCTCCTCCCCGTGCTCCCTTGGCACACCTTCCTACTGCCCTTTGTGAAGCTTTCGTCCTGTCTTTGGGAGAGGGGGACACAAAAAGTCCCTGGGATGCAAAACCCCATTTATCAGTCATTTCTAGCAGTATTTGTGCTCATTTAAGGCACCATGCTAAGACCTGTGCTTGCCCATGGATGGATGGAAATGGATGAATGTGAAAAAAAAACAAGGATTTTTACACCCAGCCTTGGAGGTAGGTGAGAAATGAGCCCCTGGAGAAAACAGATTTTGGAGCCCCTCAGAACCAGACTTGCCTTTAAAAAAAGGCAAAAAAAAAAAAAAAAGGCTGTTCAAGTGTTACTCCTCTTCTGCAAATCACCATCGCTAGCCCTTTTTGGCAGGATTGGAAACGGTGCAGAATTATCCTGGGCATGGAAGAAAGCAGCGAGTACCCCAAGTACCCCGTCAGAAACCAAACCACGCCGCGGCCACGCACATCAGAGCCATGCAGCGTCCCCATGGCGCTCCCTGACCTCACTGCTGGGAGCAGAATACTTTCAGCATCAAGCCTCTGCTATTCGGAAGCAGATATGGCATATGAAGCTAAATCTAGTCAGCGTCTGTGGAGGGGAAGGAGCAGGGATGCACGTGAGCACCGTGCACCCACAGTGCCCGGGGGAGAAGCTGTGCCACCGCCCAGCATCGCTGCCGCCTGCTCTGCGCCCCATCCCCGTGTCAGCTCCGGGGGGGATGGAGCAGCTGGTGATGGCCATGCAGTGGCTGTCACCACGGAGAAAATGGGTAAATAAGAATAGTGATGTTTTTTGTGTGCTTTTTCCTTTTTCCGGACAGTGAAATGGAGAGGTTTGCACACCCAGGCTGCCAGGACGGTCCCACTCTGGCAGATCACCCCGCACTATGCTGCACGTGTGCAAGAAGCAGGAAACATTTCAAACAGGGTAACAAAATCTGGCCTTGCTCTGCTTTCAAGCACCTTTGTGGCACAGAAAAACCTCAGTGTCCTCACCATCCACCCCAACACAGGCACCCAGCACCAAGCCCACGGGACGTTTAATCGGGTCAGGGGGCCTCCAGCAAACAATCTGGCTTACAAAAGGGGCAGAAAAAAGGGCTGCAGGGTCTTAGAGGCATTCATGAGCAAACGGGAGCTCAGCGCTGCTCCAGGCGGAGCAAGTGGCACATCCCTAGAGGTGCTGCGTGGTTATCCCCAGCTCGTGCCGTGCACCCATGGGTGCTGCAGGAGCTGGGCTGGTTTTGCAGTGGGATGAGGACCCCACAAGGCTTCATGGCCAAGCTACAGTCACCAGCAGTGGCACGGGCACTGCTGCGATGAGATGGCATTGCTCACAGCACTGGGAGCGCACTGTGCTGGGTACCACGTCAGGCGGGACATCCTGCACCGCCGAGCCCGGCCCCGCAGCCACCAGCAGGGAATTTCCCTCCAGCACAGACCCACAAGCCGGGGTCAGCCGAAATGGGCTGAAATCGCTCGGTTTTGGAGTGGGTGCAAGGTCCTGCAAACCACCGGGCTCTGCCGACTTCCTGCCACCAATCCTAACTAAGGTTGTTCTTTCTTTTCCAGAAAGCTCAAAAAAAAAAAAAAAAAAAACCCACAACCCAAAACCAATTTTCTTCATTTCTGTGTTTGCTCCCACCGGCAGCACTCCAGAATCTGTAAATTATACCCAGGAGTGTGAGAACCGAGCAGCATCTCCAAATGCACATCCAACCAGAACAAGCCGTTCCAGATGGCCGTTCCACACGTAAAGATTATAAGGAAAAAACCCAACGCCGTCCCACTCCCCAGCCATCCGATTGCATTGCAGCTCCGTGCCGGCAAAATCCCGTGCTCTGTGTTGTGCTCCTACCACCTCAGCCCGAAGTTAACACGGGTTTAGGGGGGCTGGGGGCCTCTACCCTGCTGTGAGGCATGCACTGCCTTGGATGATGGTTTTTGTTATCCCCCATGGGTTCCTCGGAAGCTGCAGCCCTACAGAAACTCCCCAACACCAAGAGAAGCCGGTCTGGGTTTCCCAGTGCTGGGAATCGTGCCTGGCAGCAGAAGGGATGCTCTCGTCTTCCAGCCAGACATCGTGTCCCCCAGGAATGCCCCCAGCACCTCCAGCCAGCTCCTGGCCACCTCGCTTCTTGCCCAGGCGTTTCTGTCCCTGTGCCTGGTGACGTGGGTGCAGGCAGAGCAGGACAGGGACCCCCACACGGGGCAGGACCACATCCAGCCCCAGCGGGCTGGTGACACCGTCCCCACTCACATAATGCATCCTCTGCAAGTGTCACCCCCAGGACAGGGGCGCGGGGACCCTCTGGCCACGAGCCCACCCCTTTCCCTGCTGGGGTCCCACTCCCGTGAGCAGCCCCTGCCCCCTCACAGCAGGATGAGCCCCGGGCTCTCCATCCCGCAGCCCTGCACACAGCAGGGGGAGC